CGATAACAGTTAGTACTATGACTGTCACCATTGACGTATTTGATATAATACTCATTTAGCTATAGCTGGCTGTAGCAACTTTTGCCTGTTACGTCACCGAACCGGATCAGCAGTAAAAAATGGCCGTGATCGTTACGCGTTATAATGATCTGGTGCGACTCGCCAGGTCGTTGTAAAGAACACACGGACGGTTATAACAGGTAACTTCAGTGCCTGCAAATGACTGGGTGCTCGTCGCTGATGGTTTTCAATTTGATCCTCATTAGACGACCGATTCTACCCGAATCGTCTGCTAGAGCTAAACAATCCTAGGCAATATGGTGTGGCCCACGAAAAACCACACTGTATTGCTTACTATCCCGTGGGGTTACGCTGGTGCTATTTTTTGGCGGGAACGCAGCGGTCTGGCCGCAGCTGATCGTTTTGTCGCTTGAGTAGGCAAAGCAGCATTGCAGCCCTCTATCCCAAGACAAAATCTAGCAAGAAGCCTTAGGATGAGAGCCTCAACGAGCAGGTATTACTACGCTTTGCTCAATTGGTGAACCGTCACTACGCCGCATCGCCTGCTAAACGCCCACAGCTCACAGATCAGTAACTGTCTGATCTTAGACCTCTCTGCCGAATAGACGAGTGACATCGTTGCTACTGGGGTACCATTGCTGATAAGAGAAGACAGATGCATGATAACTCCCAACGCGGGAGTCCTAATCGAGGTTATATGTAGGTTAGGAAGCAAGTAGCACCACAGGGCACTTTGACTCGATGTGTTTGAAGTGTTTCCTACCGATCATTTAACTATGTTCACACCTATGTGACCGAACTCAACATATGACTAACTAAAATAGCCAGTAACCGCAAAATTAGAACCATGTAGAGCTGAGGTGTGTCTTCGTTTTGCCGTACATGGCGCCGGTTAACTAGAGGGTGAGGAGTTTGTTTCAGACATTTCTATTTACGCTTGAAGCGTTGGCAGGGGCACGTGCGGTGGGTCATATCTGTAGGTCAGCCGAGAATAGATACTTATCGAGACGCTGATAAACAGAGTCGGTCGTCCTGTCTTGCAGTGTGAATGTTAAATTTACAGAAAATATTACGTTGATTCAGAACACCAAGTCGAGTTCTATAATAATCTATAATAGATGTGCCTGTATAATGAATAGATACTGCATTAACTTGATAATCAATGCTAAGTTGGTTCCCTACAAGCTAACATTTGAAAAGGAAGTTATGCGTTGTACGTACGATGAAACTTATATGAAATGTATTGCTGTGGTTTCAACAGAGCAGGACGGGTTGTCGACACCACTCGAATGTTATAAGAGCGTGTTTGTATCTAAGACACATTTGGCGATTCCGCCATTATGGCGGACTTCCTAGCTATATTTTATCTGTTTATAGCAAGAGCAGAAGACAAATCACAGACATTCGGACCATAATAACATTTCATCAACAATCGCATCGTACAGGTTGCCCAAGCGCAGTTCAACTAATTAGACATTTTTTTCTATGGCCAATAGTCGCGCGACCAGTGCTCGCTTTTGACCTTTTCAAAGGATCCATTTCGGTGTCATAATATGTACTACCAGAAGGGCCTGCTGCTTCAGTGTATCATTATCCTGTTAGTTCAAACCTCTACAAGATAACACGTGTTAGGCTGCACGGTAGGTTTAGGACACGCATGATTAGAGCGCTGGAAGTGTCTAATATGTGCCATGGATGCAGTGCCTTTTACAATTTGTATCAGAATGTAAAATAAACCAATGACATATTCGATTTCGATCATGCTACGAGAGCTGCCGTAGGCTTCGCGCATCTAAATTTAAACGTAGTTGCTACGGGCATCAAAACAATGTCAGGGTGTTTCTGTTCGATGTTTTAACGTGACACTTCTACTGCAGAAGTTGATCGCATGTAAACACAAATAGATGTAGGTATGTGTATCAACAAGTATAGTTGCCCTATGCACTAGTCCTTCGTTAGGTATAACAGCCTGCGCCAGTGCATTGTCTCGCCAGCGGTCTCGTCTAATTGGGACCAAATGCGGTGATACCGTTTGAGAACTTAACTGCTTTCGTACCTTACAGGGCTCTAGGCAAATGGGAATTGTAAATCTAACTTGCAATTGATTCTCTAGTTATAGAATGTAGGCTTGTCGGCGAAGTGTGCGGTGAAATCTATTGAGCACACAGATGTCTGAATGGCTAATTTAAGCACAGCTGAATAATACAGCATACATAATCATAGTCTACGCTTGCGTGCTAATTAAATCTAGTTCAAATCAGTTGAATTGCATAAAAGTAAAATGAGCGCAACATGCGTGTATGATAAACGATTGCTTGTTCTCAATGAAACGACTCCCCAAAGTGCCTTGCCAAGTAAATGACGACGATTAGTCTAGTTTAAATAGTCGTTGCATAGGTTCCTTTTACTAAGCTCCGAATCCTTATCGTTTCACATTTTTCGGTAGCAAGTTTAGCTTTTCCTGAATGCGCTCGCCACGGGCGGGCGCCGCCAATATAAATAGATCACTACATCATATAGATTTTAAGCAGCATGTTGAATCGATGGATTTACGCACGTAAAGTAGATAAATTTGAAGCGAACAAGTTATATACTCTTCCATTAAGGTTCCCCGAACTGCTAACCTAGCAATTTGCTCGACAAAGCGAACCTTTGTGCAACAATGTGGCTTTACATATTATCTATAGCCATTTTTGTGTAATCAATATTTCCCGCGCTTACCTTCAATACGACGAAAGACTCATTCTTCGTTTCACTTCTATAACAGCTTACATTAGGTGTAGCTAGCATTAATGATAGAAAGTTATGTCTCGGTGTCATTTTAACCGCATCTTGCCACCGAACCGGCTCCTCAATGTCCGAGCAGACCCAATTTATTGCTATGCGTTAGAATAACTGTTAGGGAAAAAGATATATTCGAAAACAGCATTTTAAAGCTGTACGTCAACGTAAACGACGCTCGCAGAGGCTATTCGTCGATTAATTTCCCAGGTTTAACTATCTGTCCATATCGATCGGCCGGAGAAGTTAGCGGCCGTTAAAGCAGCACATCGCTCGACCGTCCTCGTCTGACAATGGCGATCTTTCCAGCGCAATAACTTGCGTGTGTAACCCGTTGCTTATTTATAATACGTAACACTTAGTCCTTTATCACTTTTTGTTTACGCTGGTCGGCTAACGCATTTGAATGTAAAGAAGCTACGAAGCCATGCGCGATGAACATGGAATAACATCGAAAACTTCATTCGACTCCATAACAGTCACGAAAAAAAGCGTCACCTTACGAAGTGTTGTCGCTTCAAAGATGACTCACAATAATAATTACGCTCATAGTTTCGCGATAGCTGTGGGTGATTCGAGGCTCGTCTCTTCGAAAATCAATATTTGCTTTATATATATAGACACACATACACCGAAAGCGGCAACGGCTGTCCTATGTTATGATGAGACAAAGTCAACTTCGTAGAGGTTGTTATTAATGAATGTCTTAAAAAATAAGCACCCGCTCTCATAAACAACAGAGTGAATATATAGAATATATACAGCTGTCCTGTTGCTAAGCAATAAGGAGTCGTGTTGACTATTGCTGCTGCCGGCGTATTTGCTAACGCACCCATGTGTGCTGATAGCCCGCGAAACTGTTACGGTCGATTTTGTCCTTTAAAAATCTTGCACGTATTATTCTTATTTCGTAATGTATTCGAGAAATTTTGAAACATACTTGAAAAGCTTTTTGCTACTCCGCGCTGAATTTACTAAATGTTCAGACGTATTGTACGTTTGAACAGAATCGTATTTATATCTGGCTGGAAGCGCTCAATGAAAACGTCTCATGCGTAATCAATAAAGTAGCAAAGTAGATCTGCGGACACGCAGCATCGGAAATAGCATCGCTTAAATATGTATGCTGTTGAGCAATAGCCTAAATAGCCAAGTTTGCTAAGGCTACGGTGCCCATTCGAAAATTGTGTCTCATCTTAAGGTCGACTTTCGGATCGATATGGTTGAAGCAATGAAATTACGTTAGCGTAATTGCAAGTTAACTGTTGTCTCGTATCGATAGAAGTGCCCGCAAAAACGAGACCTTATTGCAGTCGTGGTTCGACCTTACGCGAACATTAGCTCTGAACTTTTGTGGTAAATACAAGTAAGTATTAGATTAGCTTATTAAGTTGCAAGCGGAAATAAATGTTGCAATAATAAACGCTGGTGAGTTAGGTTCTAATATCGCCGTATTCAGACGGCTATGTTCTATTTTTTTAAATGATCAGTTAAGCTCAATTTAAATTATCTTTATGAAATTCGCTAAAGACACAATTATGAACAGATACATAGCTGCGGATTTTTTCTTTATGTTCTTTTAAGTAGAAATAAAACGTCCGTTTAAGCAGATCTTGTGTCGGACGTTCTTATCCGCTTGAGTTTGTTTGCTCCTAGTATGGGGCCGGGTCTAACGTTATACCGAAATTAACTATGTTGCAGCGTTACGCATGATGAACAAAAGTCAGCGTAGGTTAGCGTAGAAGAAACGTTTCCCGGATCGGCCATACTTAGTCTGAGTCTGGCCGAAAGGACTTCGTTATTATGAAGCAGGACGATGTAAGCGGCTTCTCTGTTCAGTTACCATAAAAAGGCCGCTCATACTGTGCCGGATTATCAGCTCCGGCTTTGTCCAGGATGTGCCATCTGAATGGATTTTATCTGACACTACCGCACAGAAAGTGCAATTAATAATCATTGTAAGTGCTACTATATCTTGTGCTAATAGGCACAACTAGAGCCCCGTTCTTCAGACCACTACGGCTGACAATAGATTCCTTTGATATACTACACGTTTCGACAAAGCCAAACATCAGCGTATTGGCCAACACATTTTGTTAGGAAACATATCTGCCTACAGCCAACAGCGCGATTATGTGACTTACTGTTGTAGGAATGAGACATAATAATATCTAATGTAAAATCATAAATCTACTTACCTCTCCTGGTGTCGTTGTATCATTTTGAGCTTCGGCCGCCCTAGCCAGGACCACGAAAGCAACAACCAGTCCTAGGTAGATCCTAGACCGATTGTGGCGAACGAGTAGCATCCTCATTTTTCCCAACTGTATATAGCTGATGTGAAATTATTACCATGTACTGCTCAGCACTGCACAGCAATCGATCAACTGGATAGTGTCACTTAGTAACAAACTAAATAAACACATCAAACACCGCTAAATTATACAGACGTAAGACCAACCCGTTCTACTGGCCAGCTATTGACCACGGCTTCACAAATTATTTCAGTTTTCCCAGGAAGCTGTTGATTTTCGCACCACAAGCAATACCCGTCCCTAAATATTCCTAATAGAGGTTCGATGACGTGCAGTCGTTACCTTGCTTCGGTGACACCACGGTGCCGATGACCACGCACTTCGATGGCGCACAGGAGACCGGACCGATATGAACGATCTCGTTAGGAACGTCGTCGCTTTTATCTTGTTTTTAACATCACGGACTTCCCGTGTACCGAGATACGCGCCACTGATCACAGCATGAGTGTTCACACAGTGAAAGCACACGATAATATCGAAAGCAGTGAAATATTATAAAAGAAATGGAACTGTGACAGCAGTGAAAATAGAACTGAACCGGTTGGTACGGTTACTCGAAAGAGGTACTCCGTGTACTTCTACAGTCTTTCAAGGCCTGCGGGGGGGACGCACTGACCGCCTTTAAACGTTCCAACAATCGCGAGTTCCAGGATGGTCACATATAAATAAATGTAAGGAGGCCAGGGTTTCAGGACGTCCCTCCAGTCCGAAAGCAAATACTAAAGCAAATCGCGTTCGACTTGTCTAAATGTACATCTTGCCGATTATCAGTTGTCAAGATTGCTGTTTAAACAATTACACCCATTATGTACCACATTCTAGTTTCACCGGAACTGGAATAAACTGTAATATATTATCTGTTGTAAACTTCCAGACAGAAGTCTCGGATGGGTAAACTGGGCTGTGCTAAGCAAGAGCGCACGATGCTATTTTCTTCTATCGATGACTACTTGCGGTAGCGTTATTCGACCGATAGCTGAAGTCAAAAGACTGGCATGACGCAATAGAAGGGGCCTTTCTGTGGACCTAAGTAGCGGTCGACTGTTGGTGCTCTTTGCTTCAAGGCTGAAATCACTCTGGAATGACGAACTTCTTCCACTGCATTGGAGGGACGGCGCGGCAGCCAAACTGTAGTTTTGCCTAGCCGGGCCGTTCGCGCGTTTTACCGTTAGCTGGTCTGTGGCCGGCGAACTGTTCCGACCCGAAGTCCCGAGCGACGCGGGGTAACACTAAAGATGAGGGCAAGGGGCCCTGCCATTCGTAGGAGCGAGGGGTGATACAGCAGCAGTGTCTTGCTGTTGCTGTGAGCACTGGCAGCGGCGGCAACAACATCAGCAGGTCGTAATAGCGATATCTATAGTATCTATCCGTTTGGAGGCCGTACGACAGCTGAACCGTGTGGCCGAAGCCGGTGATTTGCCATCACCGAGCGAGCTCTGGGACGGCTAGAATGTCGGACGAGAGCTCATTCCAAGCAGCACGTTCCATCTGTCCACCTGCCTGCTTGTCTGAGCGTCTGAAATAGTGCATCCGCTGTATCATTTGTACCCGAGCTGAATAGTATTCAACGACGGCTGATGATCGCCAAATAACGGGCAGCCACTAGTTTGGTTAATAATTCATAGGCCTGGCTTTGTCGCGGTGCATACAAATAGCGCGCCGATTTTGCTAGCGGCGGCCTCATCATCACCACCACCATCACCATCATCATCATCATCATCATCATCATCATCATCATCATCATGTAACAATTGACCATAACACGCACAGACATACACAAACATATGCTTTCATAGTCACAAATAACATAGTCATAAATTGTTAAAAGCATCTATATAGTATTAGCATCTATTATATTATCAAGCACAGCAGGCAGATGCGTAAAATGAATACTAACAACTGTATAAGATGCCCTCTAGATCGAGTTGATTGAACTACTCGACCTTAATTCGATAGCATAAATAGCCCATTTATATATTATACAATATTTATATAGCATTCGTTTTTTTTTTAAATATATTCTTCGTTATTGGCAGCCTGTTCGTATGTTTTGCTCAAACATACGAACTACGTATTTCCAGTGACATGTAAGGAATTACTGTGAGCGTTTAATGTTATGAATAGAGAATATAAGCGTATTCAAACAGATTCAAGACAACTGCCCGGTAGCGGACAAGGTTCAGCTGAAGATTAAACCTGGAAATCATGATCATTTATCTTACACGCCGCCTTTCAGCTAGACACTTTCTACCTCAGCTTGTGGAAGGTTGACTCAAAAACAGCGAATGCGCATAGACCATATTAATGAGAAATGGCCACTAGAATCTGACATTTTGATTTGCCGGCGGGCATATGTTAATCTGTTATTTAAGATTCATCGAATATAATGTACACTTCGAGCGACAGACTTCGCGTCTCCTGCGCCATGTTTGCTGAGCTATTAAGAATGAATTTAAATATAATCAGGTTATACGAATAACCCTTAGCTGGTACAATTAGTTTTACTTGTTGAACACGAACACGTGGCCAATATTAAATATCAATGTCAAATGAGGCTTTTAAGGTGATCAGTCTTCGGTTCAAAAAGCGTAAGCTTACTGGCAACTGAAATGGCGTCCACATTATCTCGGCCGAATAACGTAACAACCACCTGTTGTACTTTGCTGCGGATCTCTGCTAATGCTTTAGTGCTTAATATCAAACAAACCTGTGATTGTTATTTAAAACTGCATAAAAAGGCAGAGCTGATATTTGCAGAGAAATATGTAAATCGTTCCTGCTCTCCAAACTCTTCAAATAGCACGCGCGAAATTCAACGAATGATATCTGTCTCTTGAGGCAGTTCAAAGCCCACGTTCTAAAGAAAAACCACTTGGTAGTTGTGAGTTGGTCCTTTTGTCGCTTTTCTTTTGAGGTTTCTGCCGCTGACCTGCCGTGAGCATGGTGCGTCTCCTTTTTCGGAATATCCGGAAACTTGCTTCTATTCTACTGCATTCGTCCGCACTTCTGGTGTCCTGATCCGAGCTAGGCCCAAAATAGACGCAAGGAACGGAAGCAGTCTAAGATGATTTATCATAGGAACGGAACTAAGTATGTTATTTGGTTGCTTTTTGCCAATGTACTTTCGACGAAGACCAGATCATGGATAGGACCAATTCACTTATTCTAGAAACTAAACGACGTAGGCGTTCTTCATGTTCGATCGCCTACATTTAGTGTCGTTCATTTACGTAGACAGCAAAGTAAGCCTTAGCATTAGGTAAGCCGTGGACATGTGCGAGAGTTGCGTCGTGTTCTCAACGATGGTATCCATTGTTTGACGAAATATTTGTTGGACCTACAATTGAACCAAGTGCATCTGGTTGGGACACACGCTGTGTGCAAGACTCATGTGTGCTATGCAGGCTCCTACAATGTCGAGCTCGGTTTATTTGTGGGAGGATTCGAATATTTGAAAATAATTAGGTTTGGTGGTGATGTTTTTGCATTTAGTTTTGAGAGAGTGAACATTTTATAACTGTTGTTTTGATATTTACAGAACACTAATAAATATGTCCAACAATAACAATTGTTAGTATTCTCTCATTCGTATAGCCGATCTTGAATAGCTATCGGTGTGCACTCTGTATTACAAGTAATTTTCCGGGATTTGATGAAGCATAGCGCAATAGGCCCGCATTGAATTATTAACCAAAGTTGCTACAACGAATAAATGATAACTCCCTTGTGATGAGTGCATCTCAGTGGCGAGTCACGTATTTGCAGGCCATTTACAACCGTATAGCAAAGACAGATTACCGAACTGATACCCACTGAGTTCTTGCGCAGGCTGGAACACAACTACCGCTGTCATATCGATGCCGGTGGTCACTGACGAGTTTCCGAGCCGCTTCGCTACCGGCGCGTCACGTCGACTAACGAAGTCGGCGATTACCGCTCGAAAACTGCAAAAATAGTACTTTTTTTTTCTTTTTTTTTTTTATTAGTTCTCTATAGGTCGGCCAAACTGAACAGACGTCCTAAAATCACGATTTTGGCAAAAACATAGATTTTACAATAACTAGTAGTTTTTGCATTCTGTAGCTGTTTTGTAGCTATTCGATATTGATTTAGTGGTTTGTATGTTGGTCAATGATCGATAATTTTTAGTTGAGATATTTAGCAGAAGATAAAATTGGCAATGATCAGTACTGCATACAAAATAAGGTAAAAACTTTAATAATAATAATAATAAGAAATTTTATTTTTGGTCAAACGGCCGATTTGACCGAACCTAATGAAAACATACGTCTAAAATTAAGCATGGACTCAGTGAACAAATGTATTGAACTTGAATAGCAAATCATCTGACATAGAATCTTTTCAGCGAATTTTGGAGAAGGCCAATAAAATTAGAGATGAATCTTAGATCATTAAAAGATTTTTCTGCTATATGCTTCAACACCGCCTTACACCAAATCCTTCAAAATTATTCGTCCTTTTGCCAGTTGAACGAGGTGCTACAATTAAGGACAGAGGTAGGGTTACGCATAACCCTGATAATTTTAGCAAAGAATTCATTAATTTAATGAAAAAAAAGGCTCTTTGTTGGGAAAGCGCTGCCTGTTCTAGAATGATTATTTTACCTATCTAATCATGATTATCCTATCATCGAAATAAAGAATCCGTGTTGCGTCATAGAAACTACGATTTGTTGGTTCTAGAGAGATATTTGGATGTATCATGAATAAAACAGAAAGTTACGTTTACTTTTGAGCGTCGTTTTGAAACGTTTTAAACTTGAAACATTGTCAGTTCTGTGAGTCTACGAGTAATGACAATAAGAACATTTGGCACATCCTTACGGATACATTTAAGCAATGGAAGAAGTGCCGTCGTCTTTCACGCAGAGTGGCATTTAATCTCAAATTGAGTTAAAAAAAATATAGCTCTACAAAGTGGACTATCAAATTGCTGAACACTGTCTTTTATTACGGGAAAAAAAAGACATTCTACGATCGGATTAGAGTACAACGTCAAATTAAAATGGCTCTAACTGGCAAATATCTAGCTCCAAACAGATCACCCCTCTACCAAGAGAGTGACTGATCTTTCCGTTAATAATAGTTAAGCTGAATAAGGTTATACCTACTCGAAAACGACCTCAGTGCATGATTTTTACTATAGCAACAATGTTAGCATAAAGGAAATAAGCAATCAAACAGACAATCATGCCCGTCGCACACGCCTCGAATTTTAACGCTCAAATTCGAGGGTACCGATCAACGCCGATGCCACGCAGTGGGCGAGTATACAATGGACCACTATTTCAAACTAGAGCTTTTATATATCAAACACGTAAAACATTCACTGAATAGGGACAGAAATAACTGAATAATTAGTAAATAGCCTTAAGTATCTAGCTTTATTGCGATTAGCAAGGCATACTAGTGAAAAAAAATGAAGTGAACAGCTTAAGTAGATGCACAGGAGTGACTTTTTTGAAAAATGTCTGTTTACAAGCTATGGCAATCTTAGTTACTCGTGAGCCAATTGTCATGCTTAGAGTCTTACAGATTGCGGGCTAAAGATATTTATAATATATAATTATGTACATTGAGCTAAGAAGGTTCTACAGGTAGTGAAATTTTACATATATGCACTGACTTAGATATTCAGTTCTAAGAACACAGAAAATAAAGAGGGACCATACAAGTTGTCACTCAAATAATGATAACGACTGTAACCGTTTCAGTAGTATATCTATAGGTCAGTTTTCTCTCGTAATGAAAAGTCAGGAAGCCCTGTGTAAGCCTCCTGGTTAGAAGAGAGCTGAAGGGTTTGCATACTTAATTGAGTACTCATAATTATTTATGCCTGTCTGCTTTTTCATAAAATTCATGCCAAACATTACGCAAATAACGATCTTCTTTGGGACGCATGATACCTTCTATTATGAGATAACGTCTCACCTTTTTACCTATTCTACAGACATGGTCATTCGTCCAGATATGCCTTTGGCCTATTTTCATGTATGAGATTCTTTTTGGCGCTCGACGTTTCTTGATGGTGTGCACCGCATCGTCCGTGTAGCCTGAGTTGCATAGGGCACAGGTGTCGACGGAGGTTTTCATAACCCGCATCATCTATAAAACCTGCTATGCCTTACCAAAACTCAGTCACGTCTGTGTAGAGCTTGGTTCTGGTTGTACGACCTTTTCTCAAAGGTTCTGTCATACCACTTCACCAATATGGCGTCAGTACTTCGGTCCAAGTTAAATTGTTATGTGTCTTCTATGATGGAAAATTCGACCTATCCAATTCCTGCCGTATTTGTCGAAAATCTATCTTTTTGCGCAGCTAAAATCCTATTATTTATTCCGTGCTCTTTCTACTCGTTGGTGCGCTAAGAGATCCAATTTTGTCCTGACAATAACGAAACCTATTTAGGCTTTAATAGTATTCTGTCCATGTCTGTGTTCACCAAGCCTATGGTAGAGAATGCATGTTCTTCATGGCTATAGAGGGGCACCTGTTAACTAACGAACTCAATTGTATATTTTAGAAGATAGCTCAGTTAGCCCAAATTAGAGTTCCTTCTATTTACGGTATAAGAAGTAGAGTGGCTTTCTGCTTTTAATCGAATAAATCAGCATAGCAATTTCTTTAGCTATTAAACATTATTTCACTAGGAAATATGGAGGCAGTCGTTACAATGTCTTGTCAATGGCGTATTGCTTAAGCGAACCGGCCGTTATAGCTACCATACTACTTATGCAAACAATGTGAGCCAATAAGCTCACATATTAAAACAAATTTTAGAAATTTGATGGTATATCTTCCTGCATGAATCCGTAACAATGAATTTGCCATACATTTCTGTGCCGGATCCCTTTTCACACCTTAACTTATCCGTTGCTTATTACAGTTATGCTTTGTTATAGCAGTGGCCGTTTTCGATATTGTTGGCTCTCAATAACGCTAGGTTGGACTTCAATGTTTTTTCTCATGAAGTTCATTCGTAAACCTCCCACCGAAACGATCGTGTAATACCTGGGGTGCAATTGTGTACCTTCTGCGGAAGAGAATAGCAAGATGGACTCTGCACCGCGGCGAGATCACCATTCATAAATGTATGTTCAACGGCTGTTTTGAAAATAAATATATACATACCAAAAAAAAAAATCGGAGGAAAACGTTTTTATCAGCATATTCGCCCGTCCATTTCAAAGTACCGAGAAGTATCACTCAGTAATCGATAGATATTAGCTGATCTTAATTCAGCGATGAGTCGACTCTTAGGAGCATGCGAATCTTACTACTAACGCTTGTACAAACGATTCCTCCTTAGTCGTGCTATAGCATTTGTCTATTATCGGCGGTTCGGATGGACTCATAAGAGAGGATCGTATCATAGATCAGATTTTGCAACATCCAGCTCCGGCTGATGGAGCCCTTTTGATATGTCTCCAATCCATTTAGTCGGATTTGTCAAATTAGCCAAGCCGGATATTTACTATTTTCCATACTGGCACAATTATTTTGATTCGAATATATGACCTTATTCCGCGCAACGTTTATGTAGAGCATATTTACATATAGTGCTTTTAGAGGAATTGGAAAGGAGAAATAAGATCGAAACGTTCTCTTCTAGTAAATGATACGCGGAACTTGGTCTAGGAACTCGGCCGAAACTGATATTTCTCATGTTACAGAATTACTTTTATTTTTATTAAATTAGAAATGCGGAAATAGAGTAAAAAATTGGTCTCCGGTAAATTGGCTCCTAGTCAGTTAGAGGCAACCCTTATAAATCAAAAAGTCGGCGTAAAGCATACCATTTCCATAGGTGGGGCACGCTAGGTACTCCCTACCGTTAGCCTCAGAGAGATCAGGTGAGAAAAAGGGCGTCGCCCTGATTAAAAATGGAATGCTATGGCAGTGTGTAGTAGGTTTAGACGTAAGCTGGTGGTAACACCTAGCAATGCACCAGAGGCATCTGCTTCCATGAGGTGCTTGCCGATGATGAAACAGTTAATACATCCCACTATCTCTAGTTTCTCAAGAGGCTCATAAACCGTGAGCACAGAAATCGGAAGTACGCAGTCTGGTTATTTCATGGCAATGCCAGACTTCCTTGCCATGCCCCGATTACTTCTTCAACCCGATTCAAGTCTGTATAGGTACGGGGCTTTCTATGCTCTAAAAGGGGCAATTGGAAGGCGGGTATATCCAATTTCACCTCGACAAGCCATAGGTAGAGAGATTACATACGGAATACAAATGGCAAATATAAGGCCGTTTAGAGGTTTGGCCAAGTGTGTAAAAAATAAAGAGTCCTTCTTACACATATTAAAGGAAAATCACCACTCTAGTACAACTAGTCCAAAGTTCATCAATTCCAAAGTCCGCCGGGTAATAGCCTAATATGCTTCTTTATTTCCTGCAATCTAAAAACGACGAGCGAATCATTACAGATGGCTAGGTCATTTGTACAGAATATATTTTCTTACCGTCGGCATATGTCTACCGTCATATTGACCGGATTTAGGCATCGAACCGTTACAACATTAAGCAGAGCCTTGTTGGAAAATAACTATTTATTATACCTGCACCCTTAGCATATCAAACGAAAATACTAAGAACATACACATAACAGCTTCATGTATATTATACTTATAGGGCTTAAGATACAAAATTCAATAAATGTTACAGAAAGTGACGATTTGATGTTTACGCTTTTACATATTATAATTATCATCTTTATTCAAATCTACTTACAGATTATATACACACTTCATTCCACTTCTAGCCACAAAAGTCCACCTTTTCATATTGAAGCAATTGTCACTTCGGCATCTCCGTTTGGGTTCTTACCCGCGAACCGCTTGCTTTAGGACAGATAAGCCGTCTGGTTTGTCAGAGTGGTCACAGACTCCTCAGATAGGCGCGCCTCTCTATAATAGAATTGTTATTATACGCTAAGTCAGCAGCAATATTGTTGATAACCGCGTAGGTATCCCTTTCATCTGATAACCAGTGTCCTTTCTTTAGGCCTCCGTTGTCCGTTGGATCGCAGACCAACATTTTTCATTCTTACTTTTCACCCAAAAGACCATGCAAATTCAATTTATTCGTATTTTCTTTTTGCATTTTTCTTGGTTGTGCTGTAAATTTTATTACAACCTGATCTAAGTTTAGGCTAAATACGAAAAGCAGGTTGATTTTTGCCGTGAATTTTATACGTTTATATAATATGATTTACTAGCAATTTCACGAACAAAGTAATAACACAATCCTATGCTATGTCTTTAAAGTTTTGGCCCCATGTTGCTCGCTTCTATAGTGCATGGATATCTTCCTAAATAATACAGCACATGTTAATTATGGCTTTTGGTTAGTCTGACTCAGTGCTAAAGAGCAACAATCTAGGCATGCAGACTGGTTATCGAAAACGGCAAGTCCATTGAGCGTAGAAATCAAACCATAGTCATTCATATTGTTAGCATTTTTCTACGTCCGATAGCTTCGGTCCAGGGGCAGAAAGGGTATTTCCGTTAAAGTATCTGGCGTAGTTGTTTTCCGTGGTTGGCTGATTTCAGGTCTACCTAGGTCGTTGAGGTTCTATGGCGGTCTATTGAGTCATTCTTCCATTTGCCAAGTCGCAACTCAATAAGGCTTTCCTATTTGCTGCCCCCCCCCCCCCCCTGTCCAACTGTATCGAAAGTCGATTCGCTGCAACAGACACGTTAAGTAACACTACTGACTATGAATCCGCATCGGCATGATTTTCCACCGAGCGAATGAAAAGGTTACGATTATTAGCTTCCGGCTCTACCAGCGGCAAAAGCCCATGCAGTTGTTTTTCTCTGGGGAGCTTACTTTGTGACAGAACTGTGCGTTTATGCATTTGTACAACTAGACCGGACATGTTATATTCTGTCACGTCTTGACAATCACAAGCCGGTTATCGCCCGCCGGTAGGTTTAAACATGATAGCATCGGTTTGTAACGGGCAGCGAAAGTCGATAGGGTAAAAGAGCCACCGGAGGCTGCAGTAGATTCGAAATAGTACGCAATGCGCTAGCTCGGTACTACTTCCTGCGCTGCAAGAAGCACAAAATAAAGAGGCTTTCGAATCACATGAACTTTAATAATTGAACCTGTTAACGATGTAATCTTAATTACTAACGTTCTTGTAAGGTTTTCACGTTATTTAGAAGTTAACGGGGCTCTTTTGAAATAGCGATATTGCCGAATAATCTTGTCAAAACGACACTTCGGGTCGTAACGTCGATACGCAAAAAGGTTTGCCGGGCTGACGCGCACGCGATTGCAACCTACTATGTTTCATTATAGCAGGACTGGTCTAACTTGATTGTAGTGCACACAGCTTCCTATGCGCGACTTAGTTTAAAAGAGCAAAAATGCCACACTTTTGAACTAGAAAAACTATAAGATAACAAATCTTTTCCTAATTATTAGAGACGACGCCATAACATATCATTCTGCTCCGATTTAAGCGGTAACATTCAATTCGAGTACATTCTACGTTCATTCACGCTATAGTCGAATATCACAATGATTTTGTCGATCCAGACAGATCTTTATCAACAGACACAGATCAATACGGGTCATCAACTGAGCAAATCAGTCGCCTGCTTACTGATGAGCTGTTGATTACCAGTAGCTTGATCGTTGTTCCCTTATTTTTAGAGAAGTACAAAGGAACTTAGTCGCCTACATGGCTGTTGATCCAGTTGAGGTAGTTTGTCACGCGTGTATACACGCCAGGGAAGCCTTTAGTCGCGCAGCGTACTCCGAACGAGACGATACCGACTTGGTAAAAGCGGGTCGGTGAATAGCCTTCCGGGCGCACGAGAGGACCTCCTGAGTCACCTTGACACGAATCCTGGACACCGCTTTCATCTCCGGCGCAGATAAAGTGGTCCGGATCGACGTGATCAATCTAGAACAGACAAAAGAACACAAGGTATGTTATGGACTTAAGCGATCAGGCGTCAAGTTAAGATTTGGACGAAGATTTGATTAAACTAGTTTAACGTAATTTTAAGTCGGGGTTATCGATATTATTATTTTTACTCTTATTTTCTAGGCTTCTGCAAAGTTGCACCACTCCATAATTTCCATATTTTTTATTTGCCATATTTGTTTTGTAACATTTAATATACAGACCATTTCAATACTCTGTATAAATCGAAAAGACCTGTGTTGTGAAAAGATTAACTCTGATAAATAATGCGTAGATACTGGACAACTGTACACACCATAGATAATCGCAGTTCCTGTAGGAATGTATATCTGGTTACTACGAATTACGGGAGCATTAAAACAATCAACGAAATACCGAGAAGATAACTTACACAATCGAATGCATCAACAACAAATATAATTTTACAGCTATGTTCGCTTCTCATCGTTTTGCTGATTACGGTCTTTTGTTAGCATGTTAAACGCATACATCTTATAGGTGGAGCTCTAACTAATGATTCCGGCGATTGGGGTGCCCTCTACAACCTTAAATTATTTCCAACAAATAACTCGATTAAAGGTAAATTAAATGCCTTACTCTCTAATTTATGAGATCCGAAGGTGGCATATTTAAAACCAAAACTAATAAAGACGCAAACTCCTCTATAATATCCAGGCTAGCTACAAATTACTACATACGACCTATACTTTTCGACGATATTCAAGTCAACCATTTAATTACACCGAGCTTATGCAAATGTCGTTCAGTGCTTCCTATGCTCCTCTATTAAAAAGACATTGCACATGATAACGGGAAGTCTCCGTTTTGCTATGCGAAACGATAGCGTAACCACTAAAAAGGAATTTAGTTTTATTATTTCATTTAGGTTATATTGACGTCAAGCAGCATGAAGTAGCATCACACCACTGTTTCTTAGAACATTATTATCAGCTAATCGCAACGACGCAGTGGCTTGAACGGGCAAATCTTTGACAACATAAGCCTGCAACCACTCAATCTAGCCCTGATGTTCTAGGTAGACGTAACATATAACTAGATAAGGGAAGTCGATTTTCACTGCGCAGCATTGCCCGACCTGATAGTAATAAACACGGAAATGAAAAAAGACCTTGTCAGAAATATTTGCCGTTATATGCGTTCCTATTGAATGTAACGGCGGACGAGATCAATTATAAACTGTGATAAGCGAAATTAAATTATGCTCATTTATCTGTATACACATTAAGAAGACGATTGATAATATTCCAACTAACACTGCAGCAATGATACAAAGTGACACAGTGAACATTATGTTATACCAAGATGAACAGTCTCACTGGTTGCGATAGAGAGAGGCATGGATGAAACTAGATGTCACACTTATTTGACTTGGACTTACATTGACTTCTTTAAAGACGTCGGTGCACCGCTTTGCATCCCAAATGGGAAAACTAGCCTGCTGGAGGACATTAGCCGTCCTACCGAGATAGCGCAGACGGCCCCAACCGGTGATAAATACGTACTTGTCAACAATATTGTTCGGAATCGCTTGCGTGCTATAGGGAAGGCATACTGGTGCGATAAACTTATTAAACGCCACATCTCTATCCATGACAATAATAGCGATGTCATTAGTATTTTTGCCAAACTCGAACCCTTCATGAGTAACGAGGCGCGCTACAGATCTTTCGGTAGTAATTCCAGCGGGAAGCTCGTCCGTCTTTGAGAGGTCATGCTCAGCCAGACGTACTCGGAGAAAGTTTCTATCGGTTACCTTCTTCGGCCTCAAAATGAAACAGTGCGCTGCACTGAGGACGTGCTTTCTTGAAATTAGACTCGCTCCACAATGCGATTCAAATTGGTCGTTTTGGTTGTTCTTCATTAGTACGAGAGCTTGCCAAGGCCAGTCACCGATTTTGGCATCAACACCACCAACGACGCGTGTGAACGTTGCGTTCGTAATACCGCATTCTTCAGGGAAAAGAGTAGGCTTTCGAGCACGCAGTCCGGCCGGAATCGGCCGCGGGGAAACCGTCGACTCAATCGTAGGTCGCGGGGGTGCAGGAGGCGTTTCGCCGGCAACCTGAAACTGTTTCGGGCAGCAGAGTAACGGGGCAAGGCCGTTGTAGCCGCAGACGTATTTTCGCAGAAAGATGCGGTGTGGCACATGCTGAAGGCCGGGACATTCTCGTAGCAGGATGCACTTGCCCTTCTGCTGATCGGGTGTCCAACACTCACTGGTATCCTCATGCTCAAATACAATCCCGCCGAAACGGATGGCCTTGCTTTCGATACCTGTTTGGCTGTTGCTTGATACTTCTGCCAATTGTGCATCTGCATTTTGCACTAGCTTTCCGTTAAAAACACAGCTGAGTAGGAAAACTGTCATGATTATGACTCGGGGAAACGTCATGATGCTTTGGTTTAAGCCTAGGCCCAACAGTAATCGAACTTCATCACTTGATATGCGATGGACGCTAACAGTGTATTCACAAAGCACCTCCAAAAATGAAATACTAATGGGTAACAGCAGTGCCGACGGTTGATTTCCGACAACGTGTACTGCTGTTTCGAAAATAATACAGTCACACAGACGGAGCAAGCCTCGTCCTTTATTCCGCGCTGAAAAATACGTTTGTATGGTTCTATGTCCGTCAGTCAGCGCTGCTGCTGTGCCGTGCTGTTTGACTGTGACAGCTACGACAAATTATACTTGATATTTATCTTCTATGGTAAGCGCGCTGGCGGAGGTGAGCGGTCGATATACGCACGACCGGTGAACGCGACCGGTATATGATGGGCGCGACAATCAGGGGACAGCCGCAGGCCTTTCGCTTGTGCTGCTGCCACTCGCACTACGGCTGTTCCTGTCCTTGTTGTTGTTATTGTTGTTCTGCGGATTCTGCAACAGTTGGTCACGCCGCTATCGCTGCCACTTTTCGCTAGCTCCTTACAAATCGGTTCCTCGGTCGTTCTTTCACAGAACAGAGAGAATGGCGTTTAAGCATGTCGAATAAGCATGAAACGCAACGAGAGAATCGTCATCCTCACAGGAGTAGCCGTGGCTGCCTTTGGTGCGGCCGCAATTGCTGTTGACGACAGTGACGCCATTATGGTAGACCTGATCGCGTTGCGCAGCCGAGACGGTATTACTTGAAGAACGTACTCTCCTTGACGGTTGTAGCAGCTGTCGAGGTGGTTCCGAAAGAGAGACCAAGGAAAACCCACAGAAGTCAACAAACGCCAAACAACAGCTACTGACAATAGACAACGAGTCTTAATAATATGATAGGGCAGTCATTTTTGTTTTACTGCATGTCAATCCTTCGCCATGCGGTATATTGGTAGTTAAGCGGCTGATCGGTCGCCGCAGGACTTCAGCAGAGAAATTCACATGCTTTTACGAACACATACAAGTATATTCTCTCGCACATACCAATGATCAGACACACATGCTAAAAACATTATCACAACCACAAGAACAATGCAATCATATTAGTAGTGAAGAGGAGAGTCGCGGGTGAAAGGGGCTGCAACAACAACATCGTCAACAATACAAGCAACAGTAATAATAGCAAGCATGGCACTAAATCTGAGAACACCAAAGATAGCGAACGGACATCCGCACGTAAAATTAGTCAGGATGACGATGCTGTCTAACAAGCCCAACGTGTCAAATGGGTATATATATCTGTTATATATATATAGCAGATACTTGAAAATATAGACGAAGTGCAAGGAAGACATGAAGAGAATGAAACTGATATGCGCGCGGAGTGTAGCAAACAAACGCAGCCACAGAAGCGCACAGGAGAAGTGAACGGCAACCCACATTAGTGTTTACACCACTACGAGCGGTAGACTAGTAAGCCCGAAGTGAACAGCTAGGTAACTGTAGCTGCTAGGCAGTAACTGTTAAACTTACGCAGTTTGTGAACCTGCAGAGATTAAATACTGGCTAGCTATAAGTATGTCATAGAGATTTGAAAACATAAATCCATACATAGACAACTGGGCCTTTAAATGCCCATAAAAAAATGGGGACCTTACAGTGTCAACAACTCCTACGCTACTGATACGAAACGCAATCAAGTTGTGGCAACGGTACCTATTACTGATGTATGAATTGATAGATTTAACCTGCGGGGTCGCGATGACAAATTGGCTGCTAAGGAGACTTTCTGGTAGAACGATAATCTATTATTACATTGGCTAGGTACCTGTAATAGGAGATCGCGTCGAAGTACAGAAGAGGGACGTCTACCTCACCTACGAAACACTTCGCATATACCGATGCACACGTGGAGGCACGTCAAGGCCGCACAGAAAATGACGATTACCTTTAAACTATAAACAAAGTCGCCCAAAAACAGTCAAAGCTAACTACTTCGTCTAAGAAACAAGCTGGTGAGGGTTAAGGCAAGCGCTGCCAGAAAAAACAGATCATGTGTCAGCTGCCCCCCACAAGGCGCCACTATTTCTGATTTCTGAATTTACAGGAAAAGGATTTATGTTTTTTAATTTTTTTTATTGATTTATTTTATATTTATTATTAAATTATACCTATTATTTTATTTATTTATTTTTAGATTAGAAAACGTAAGGAACCTGAAGAAGAAAAAGGTAAATGATCACACCGCTTTTATTTCTATTTAGCTTCCAAATTGCGGATTAGTTTGATTAGATTTTAAAGAAGAGTCACGCGATTGGTAGTATACGCTCTTCTCTTAATCATCGAATTTTTGCGCCCACTGAATGTGTGTCTTTAGCAAATAACTACAGTTGCCTAAAGAAAAGAATTTGAGAGCACACAAGAATAGGTACTAAACGTAAAGTAGAATATTTTTTTCTCCTTTTTTTGTAACCAGTTCGGTCATCAGTCTAGCATTTCAAACCATACAGACCGCAAAGCTTTACACCTGGAGCGAAATTCGCGTTTAGACTTGTCACTGAAAGCCACCACTCATTTGGTCTCTATTTGTATAGATTTTAAAAACCGACATATTTCCGATGGAATATCTAATCTATAATATGAAACAATTAATGCGCGATGTCATTTTCTAAAAAATCATTAGTGAGACAGCTTTAGACATGAATATAATAAATTTAGTGTTTATTTAGTTCTCTCGCCTGTAAATAGAGCTGGTCGAACATATCTGCAGAATCATCTTTGCCTATAAAGCTTTGCCGTTCATAGTGCAAAGTATTATCCGCACAGTCATATGGTGAGAATGTTAGCGAAGACTGGCGATCACCGTCCCTGCAAGTCCTTAGGTGTAAGGTAAAAAAATAAAATTATCGTCCATTCCATTCATGGACTCATTGGTTGTGAGATTTTTTTAACTTCGCTAAAGCACGGAACAGCACTGAAGTTCAAATCTCGTTCCTACCTGTGAACCCGTGACCTACATGCCCGTGCAACAGGAAGCTATCGTTACAGCAGTACCGTTGCCAGGAGAGGAGTTAGCAAAAGCCGTATCTTCATCGCAAATACTAAATGCTTAAGCATACTCAAATCATTCGCAAATCCAACGTTTTCCTTGGATACCGTCGCCGAATCGACTTATTCTTCTTCAAAATAGTTCCGTTCATCAGCGACGGTCAGCTAATACGAAATAACAAGTCAAACAAATGAATTTACCACAGTCATTAGCACACTACGGGAATATAGTAACCCCGTAATGATTACTGTACACAGCAGTGATTATTCAGAAATGATACTGTTTATTATTCTATTGCTTTTTCTATCTGCAATCATAATAAGGATAACTTAATAAACTTAAAAATATACATTTTAAATTATGCGCCATTTTAATTTATTCGAGTGCTATTAATGCACGCCATACTAACTGTACCTTTGTCGCCAAAGGAGGGCTTGAACAGGGGTAGTCTTTGTGGAGAGCTGTCTTGGGTATTGCTATGGCAGGTTTAGTGGATTTACTGACGTGACACGCTTTTTTCATGCGTTACGTGAGTAGTTCAGGGAAAAGTGTTTTTTGAAGAAATTGTGGTTCACATATTTTACAACAGCGTTTTGGGCACCGATTTTTCTAAGTTATTGCGGATGGTTTCAGTTTGCCAGAAATTACTTTAAGCAACTCCGGTCCGTTTTCAATAGTTCTAAGAAGGAATTTTATGTCTTGTCGACTTTTGCATAACTATGAAGCAATTAGTGATTACTTTTTAGTAGGAAATTGGCATCAATTCTGTATTCGGTTGAATACATCCTTTCGTTGGGATTTTTTCTTATCCCAAATTGCTAAAATAATTACAAGTGCATGGAACTAAAATCACGTACACGTGAATTTGAACGTGTGTTTTTAGATAACAGATTTACGACAAAAATCTACAAAAAGCTTCATCGTGCTGCCGCAAAGCTTCGAGTTTTCGAGAACAGAGCAGGCTAGAGCACGAAAACTTAAGTGAGCTTTACCTAAAACTAATTTTGTTTTTGCCAGAATACCGCTTTCTTTCTATAAGCAATAAGCAAACATGGCAACTTCTAGTAGAATCGTTACAGTTTGATTTCAAGCATTCGCATGAAAAGTCGGGTTCTTACAAGTCGTCCTATATTGTAACCTTCGAGACTTTGACTCTTAACCGTTTTTATAATAATTAACACCAATTGGCTGCCAGAAAATTCACGATTTCTAAATGGCACCTAGATAGAAGAAATGATCAAATGTTATCAGAACACGTGTTGGGGAACGGAACCTTATGTACTGATAAAATGCCAGCCGGTATCTCGTTGTAAAGGTTTCACGGCTGCCACGCGTCACTCCTACTGCAATCGGGGAAAGAAGCAGAATGAACGGTAAACGCATAAAGCACATATTACGATGCTGAGGCAAAGCTAACGACAGGGGAAGTCCTGTTTTGGGCTTCCAGATGCTGGTTTCTGTTACGGCGTGTGTAACAGTATCTATAGTCGCCGATCTAAGGCAACTAAAATCGATTGCGACGATTGGCTCTGAAAAACGGCTCGTCGTTATTTGATTAAACAGGCCCTCGACACGAGCCATGTAGACGTCAGTGATCGCAGAAGACCTTCTAATCACACAGCCCTAATTTATCCAGAGTTTATTAATAGTGAAACTTTTTTCAATAATTAATATTATATAATATTAATCTTAATTCTAATACTTTTTTTCAAGGCTTATCGAACACCATTACGCGAGAGTTACAGAATAACTTTCAGTCTCGGTAGCTTACCATATAATGATAAAAACACTAACACCTTATTTCTGCGTGGTTTCTTGAATCCACTGATATCACGAAGCACAATAGTATCATGTTATAAACGTTCCTTTTTCGTAATTGTAGAAATAGGAGGACGTTTAACTACACATACGTATAAACAATGTAAACTGCGTTTGGAGGGGTCGGTAGTTTTATGACTTCAATCACACTTACCAACGAGAAATACTGCTTCGACGCGCCATGTGGAAAACTGTCGTTGAGAGAAGACTGTAGTTATTTTTTTTGGGGTACACAGACTAGAAATGTCAGAATATTATAATGCTCTATATATATATATATATATATATATACATATATATATATATATATATATATATATATATATATATGGTTTTATGACTAATCTAACGCCTGTCTTTTATCAAACTTCGCTCGCATAACTTAGATTTCTATTTAGCCTGAGGGCACAGAGAGCCATTAGCGACGTTATCTCCACAATATTTAATCGAGAGTAATATTCGACAAACTATTTGCATCTATCTGTAACCACGAATGATACAACACAGTCTAGTTAGAGACAAACAAAGCAAAGGGCGTGTTCTATGGCCAAAAATTTATTACTTAGGGCTATATATCAAAACAACATGTTTTCATTATTCTTCACCTTAAAATTATATAAAGAGTTTTCGCACTTTGTGAAAAATAAATGTTCTAAAGCCATCTGTCTTAAATAAAATAAATAAATAAAACAAAGTCGAAGGCTGCGACTTGCAGTTTTTAAAACGGGACAGTATATTATTGTAGATGATATAGAGAAAAGCTGCCCTTTCGTGTTACCTTAAAAGTTTACAATTTATAGGTAAAAGATTTTTATATTCCGATTATTAAGTTAGTGGAAATGAATTAGGTAATTGCCAAAAAATATTTTTCTAAGTAGGTATTCAGGATGTGTAGGCAGCTTTGGCAGAAAAGTGAATTTACCATAAAAATTGTTATTTCACGTTCATATTACGGGAAAAACTTTGACTTCAACTTGAATAAAATCTTTCCGTGACTGATCTTTAAAATAATTCTTCATACACAATAAATAATTCTATATAAAGTTCATGAATAAATCCCACATTCACATACATTTTCCACAAAGGAAATTTCCTGATATTTTTCTGATTATTAAAACGTTGTACTCAGGCATGAAGGTATTACCATCACTTCTCGTAACCCCGTAAAGGCAAGAATAGCAGTGCTGAGTGACCTTTTAGCCAAAAAAAAGTGGTAAGCTCTTTTATCTGATCAAATCGTCGACAAAAAACTTTTTAAGCAATAATCGCTAGTGTGGCGAACTGCTAGATATGCTGTACTTCCATAAGTAGATCTAACTAAAGGCATGGCGATAGGCATGCTAGGGTGCTAAAATATCCATCCCTTTTTTTTTTTTTATTGTGTCGATGAACTGCTGTAGCATTCACAAATATATTGAAAGCGACCTCATACTATCCAAATATTGTGACCACAAATATATTAAAGGAATAAAGCCTGTTCTTAATATTTCATATAATTCAATTTCGTAAACAGTTTGCATATATATATATATATATATATATATATATATATCATAGTAGTTGTCATTATTTAAAAAATGCGTGAAAGGGCAAATTGTTTACGGCAAAGTTGCAAGATTAGAGTGAAGCTTCACATAACTATACTACGTGTAACCCGTTGATAAGATAAGTAAGGAAAGAAATCGTGCTTGCTTTTGAAGCCTCCTCTTATCTTACATGTACAAAGATTATGATACCACCTTTCGAATGCTTCTAAAATGTTCGGAAATTTGTACTATAATACAGATGACGAATGAGGCATATCCCCGTAAAGCTGCATAGTGTAAAGTGGCTTACTTGCCAAATATTGGAAGTATTAAACAAAGCAACTCAGAAATGTACTAATCAAGTTTGTAAATTCTACCGCTAGCAGTGAACTCAGTATTTCAATTCAGTGTTCATAGACAGTAATACTGGGCACGGCTATGTGATACGTTCTTTCCAATATTTGTTTGTGAGTAAAGATTTTCAAGTTTAAAACGAAGACGAGATCATGTGAGTCTTCTGATCATAATAGGCACAGTCGTGCTCTATTGACTATTCCCAAAACTACGAGCCATGAACATTCTGAGCTTATTATTCTAGTGATGATCTTAATGATCATTGTTTTTTATGACCAACAATTGCTTCCACTAGAAAATCATTCATCGACGCATTCGTAGTTGAGACCCATGTAACTTTCTTAATTCGTAGTTAATTTTTCGTTCTATTTGACTAATCTGCCCGGCAACTGATAAACTCTTCAGAGCTTTTTAGGCATCGTATTTTTGTTTATTCATAATTGATCACGACATCACAGTAAACCTTGCTTTCGTTCACTCCATAGAACATTGTTTGCTATCGAATCTAAGAGTTCTGCTATTATACCGTATTTGTCGTGCAGGTACTCCGCTGCGTTTGCCTGCAGAAATTGTTCCCCCAGTTAGGCGGATTCTCGTCCCATTTCTAACAAACAACAGATAAATAGGATGCACTCTTATTTTGCCTACATAGACAAAAACTATTTATTTATATATGCTAATTAGTCATAATAATACTAATGTGTATACTTATGTATACATATAATATATATATATATATATATACTAACTTCATACTGAGTGTAATACCAATCATCGGCTCCACATCATCTATACAGTGGAAAATGTACAATCTCTTTCGTTAGGCGCAACACATTTGCTGGGCATCATGCTCTTAACTCTATACACTCAAGCAAAATACTATACACATTTCTTAGCAGTTTGGGTTCGTACAATTCATACAAACTTATAATATAATAATTATCCCGCGTCACCATTGGCTGTTTTTATATGCGTTTGGCCAAATGTAACTTTAGTTTAAAGTTCCTTCTGTTCGGTTATCGTAGATACGGATGCGATGACATCGCGCCTCCGCTCTTGATATTTGTCTTAATCGTCGCCGTGGGCATCTTGCCGCCGGCCGAAGGAGGCGCATTCATAGCTCGGTTGGGGACGGGACCAGAACCCCCACCCACAGATCCACTAATTGAAGCGCCTATAGGCTTCGGACTGTGAGTACCCATAGCCTGGCCACCCATACTGGGTCCACCCTGGTTACCGCCGCGCAGAAGCTTGCCGCTGTAAAATAAGAGAGTGCAGAAGTGCAACCGAATTAGTCCATCAGATACATAGGCGAATAATGCTTGAATTTATGTCCACTGTATTTGAACTTCTAATCTATGTCGTATAGGAATAACATTTTATGTAAGTACCAAAATGTTTGCAACGATAAAATCTAGCAAAAAATATACGGCATAGCCCGTGTGGATCTATCAAACAATAAGTTCAACTTATTACCTTGGTGAAGGTTGCTTCTTAAAGGACTAAAGTTTTCAATCATCAATCTAAATAACAATATTTGTGTTTTAAACAAAAAATTAATACCATTCATTAAATGACAGTTGGCGGAAAAATTTGTTTTTGAGCACTTTATATATATAATGTTTTTTTTTTATCTACTTGGATTAAAATGCGAACATAACTAAGATGTTTCAGTGTCTATATGTTGCTGGTATGGTGGACTCAATAAGGCATGATTTCGGGTTAGATTTTTAGCTGCGACGTAGCAGTTTTTTCAAATTATTACAACTATCAGTAGAAGCTAGATCAACCATGATTCGACTATTCTTTCTGATATATAATCATGCTTTGTGTGTGCTGCTTTCTGGTATATGGAATGCTGTGAACGATTGCCCTGAGTTCTTCCTATTGTCAGCAGCTCAGCGGGCAGATACGTTTGACCAGGGTGAATACCGCTGTATTTTTTACCTGTTATATACATTCTTTTTCGAAATATCTATAAGATAATACAAGATAATAAATAATACACGTTATTGAAATGCGGATTCAACGACATTTTGAGATACACTGAACTTACTTTGATATTGCGGCTATGAGCATGGCCGTATCTGGCGCAGAAGATGTTTGTTGTATACCGCGCGAAGTATCGATGTCCCACTCTTCTCGGGAGGTCCGAATTAGCTCTGAAACGTTTTGACAGATCTTGTTGTGTGAGGCTACCTGCTTTGTCGAGCCGTCATTCGGCGACTGACCGGCTTTCATCAAAATAGCCTGTAACAGGTAGAACGTTAAAGAAAATTGTAATATTTGGCTTACGTTACTAGAGAAGAATGAAGACGAAAAAAAGTCTTTCATAATGCTAGACACGTTGTAGAAATGCGCTTATAAGTAAGCTTATAAGTCGGTTTCTTCGTCTGATTCGAAATAACATAAAATTTACATATACAGAATGAAAAACTATTAGAAAAGAAACTTTAGGTTTTCAGCGAGAATCTATAAAAATTTAGAAAGGTTTGAATACACAGGTGTTGTCTGTTAGAACCGCATTCAGCATTCCAACTTGGCCCACCTGATCAGCCTGCTCGATTTCCGGATCGCATAATGTGCGCAAGTAATCCGGCACCGCTTGATGATTAAAAAGGGGCACGCGACCTTCAGTCAATCGCTGAAGTTCAGGATCGGGATCGGGTGATACCAGCAGAGGTAGAATAATTCGATTACGCAACTTCGGTATTTTATCGTTGCGCAAAACCTAGAACAAACAAAAATCTGTAAACATAAATACGTAACTAAACTACCGTATCTAAAGTACGTATAACAGCTTCACAAAAATTATTATTATAGAAGGGACTGATATGTGTTACCTTCAACAAGTTGTTCATCTGTCCAGAAATAAGCGCGAAGTTGTCAAGCACCGCCGGCCACTGGAGGGTTTCATATTCATTTTCTAGCCTCCAGATGAGCTGCTGGATGTTGTTTTTAAGATCGTTGCTGCGAGTCAACAAAGCATCGACAACCTGATCCACCTAAACGTGAAAAGTGAAACAAAAATATAACACAAAAAAATAAATTATAGCGTTAAAAGGGTTAATTGGCTATAATAGAAATGCGCCATACTGTTGTCAAGGCTCGGTTAGAGATAAGCCTCGCGAGATATGCAGTCCACACGAACACAAATATGGTCAATTAAGACAAAAGGAGCTAATGTATAAATGCGAAAGATGAGTTACCAAACACCTGCGAGATATGTACATATGTTATCAGCTAGTGTGAATATCCTATCAAATGTAAGCAATGAACAGCCTTATCTTAAGGGACTACAAGTGTGAAGACCACAGTTTTTGCTTATAGAGCTTTTTAAGTTGTTTCACGATAACTATAATTTGCCTACGATTTAAAATTAAAAAAAAAACGAGTTTTGACTTGACTGACTTGACTTTCCTTCATAGGGTTAGATTTCTGTTCCCAAATCTGTAATGGATAAAAACTGTGGTAGAATAAATGCTCGTTACTCATGGTACAGCGATGAGTTTTCAGGCACCCTTTTCACTTTACTTAATACTAACTTCTACATAAAAAAAAAAAAAAAAAAAACTATTTTCATATATAGGTAATATTTGTTAAATGCACTGTTATAGCCAATGGCATCGAAAACAATATAATTGATGGCTTCACAATCAGCAATCTGCCAACATACATACAAACAACACATAAATACAAAACAGATCTTCAATGTAGAGTTTTTCAATTCAGCCTTTGCGAAGGTTCAGCATCGAAAACTGGCCGATAGTTTAAAGAGCCATAACCGAAATTTATAAGAATGCTCATTAAGGAATTTGCCATTTCTGTAGTACAGAATAAACATCAATCATAACGACAGCATACCTGTTTATCTTCTTTGTCCATCGCTGCACTTTTGCGTCTGACGAAACGTCTGTTAAACGTAAATATGTCTACACATCCTACTGTATTACTTGTTAGTATTACCAGTTTATCTAATAGTATCTTCTAACAGTCTGAACGTCAGTGTTCAGCCGTACTTGGTATACAGCGTCTTCTTTTTGAAACACGAGTTTTATGCCGATGTGAGTATAGACGCAGAGCTTTCAAACGCTGCTGAGCAAAAACCTATAATGGGGCGATTTGGCAGTTGCGTTTCGAAATGGAGCCCTCAAATACGATTTTACAGCAGCAGAACTGTATAAGATTGGACCGTCAATCGCTGGTGAAAAACTATAAGAGCATAATGTAAAACCGGTGTTACGACTTGGAATTATATCTCAGCTTTCTCTTCGTTAACTGAAATTTAATTTTAAATAGTACGAAAGGAATGAGTTCTTTGATGGGCTAAATTATTTAATAAAAGAAAAGTTCGGGTTGGCGAGTCATCATCAATGTTTTGAAATATTATTTAGTTTTCTGCACTACTCGAATCCCATTTTGGGCGGGAAGAACCTAGAAAGTACCTTTCAAAAGGCTAGGTTTTCTCTTGAGTTAGTCATATCAAGGAACTTTGTTTTTGTCGTGATTCCGGAAAGCTAAATTGCAGTGTACAATCGCCTACACTCAAAAGAAGTGACTTCTCCATCTTTCGAGGCCAACTGCGCTGGGCTAATTATGGATGATGGTAATACTAGATGGACTCAAGGATAATAACTTCATTTTTTTATATTATATATAGCAATTACTCATATGTTCTTTGGCTAGGCACAGCTATGTCACGAATTCTATAAACAATACGCCTTAAGTAAATAGGATAAATAAAGTCTATTCTATTTAGATAGTATTAATTTGTCTTAAGAATTAATCATAGCTATCTATTGCTTTATTACAAAATCGCCGTGCTGGCAAAATCTGTAGAAAATCTATTCTGCTGGCGATATTTCAAGATTTGTTTGCACAACGTAAAATTAGTTAATAAAGTAATGTCGTTTAAGTAAAGCAAAACAAAATGTATTTACTAATGACTGCCATCTTGCCAGTCCTAGCTGTTTCCAATAGCTTAAATGAGAGATTCATCGACTAATAAAAATCAAGATATTTTGTTAATCTCTGAATATTTTACCGAGCAAGCTAAAATAATAACGTTGAATTAGATCAAATGGAATGATGCGTTATTACCTGTCAAAAAAAACTTGACTCAAAAAAAGGTATGTTAATTATGCTAACGCGTTTCTTCATCAACGTAGGATGTGTCATTCTGCAATACCCTTTGCGGGAAAAGGTAATATTTCTATTAATCAGCAACAATTACAACATAATAAAAAATTACTGACATCCTTTTATTATTCCTCTCCCTTGCCTAAACATTTGTAATAGGAATTTTGTAGTCATTATGGGCTTGAAGGCACATTTCAACGTCTTCACCATCCAAAACAAAAGGCTGAGTATTTGACAATTCAAATTCTAGATATGGATATTCTTGCCGCTCTCATCGACGAGGATCTCAACGAGCTCGAGAGGGATATCGAGACAGACCAAAACAACGGCACCACGGGAAGTTCATCAAAACTACAAACTTCAGTTCCAGAAACAGTGAAACCGGTGAGGGATGATAAAATTCTATTTGTTTGTGAAGGTTCGTGCAGACTTCCCCATTAGCTAATGGTATAACATTGCTTTACCCGTAATGGAAATGCATTATGCTCGAAGCAGGCTGTTTTTCTTGAGGTTTCTTTCTGGAAACTTGGATAGAATATTATTTTGATAATAATAGACAGAGTTGCATTTCATTAACGCAAATATTCATTAAAAGTCTACTTTACATTGGTATCTATGTGTGTACTCAGAAAAATGCTTTTGTAGAAGACTGAGCTACTCTTACGCCTCAGTTGAAATTCGTTTAAATTAAACAGAATATAACTCTAAATTACTGTTTTAATTAGGAAGAATCTTTGGGACCAGAGTACAATGGTGAACGTTCGTTTGAGGCGGCGGAAAAATTGTCAAGAGACCCCTTGCAAACAGAATCACCATCTTCTAGAAAGTTGGCATCATCAAGGTAAACCAAGATCACCTAGGAGCTATATGCGTAACATTTTTGTGGGAATTGTAGTCTGTTGCGTTGGGGTTTCTGATTTAGCAGTATTATCTTGTGTTTGCCTTGTAATATGCTAATTATTTTTTTTTTGTTAATGCTAATCTACACTGACTGTGTTGCGTTACAGTAAGAGCGAGGAAAAGCAGTCGGAATTATCGAGCGTGAACATCACGAAATCTCCCACAAGTCAACAGAGCACGATTACGCCTTCCAGCAAGAAGTTGATTCTTGAAGCGAGCACATCTACAAAAGTTGGTATATTGTGCCACAGAACACCTGCAAACTTGTTCTAGATTATTATTAGAGATAATTGCTAAACTGTATTGTTCGGCAGGCCAAGTGCTTTTATACACTTTCAATTTATTCAATAGCTTAACATTCAGTTTTCCAATGATGTGGATAATTCATTTTCACACAGCGTATATATGTCATTGCATTTTTCAGAAGTCTGCACCGTTGCTGCAAGATGTCAATATCTTCAAGGAAACACGCAATGGTGTTGCAAAGCCTTCTGAAGTGCATACGGGACTTACCGACTATGAATCGTCTGACGATGAATCCCTTACATCATCCGGAAAAGAAGTTTGTAACACCATTGAATATTTGTGTCGCTAAGTTTTTCGGCGAATAAGAGGCAGTTAGCTTTTTCTCGATTACCTGCTGAAAACCATCACAGGTTTATTTTCATTGGAATCAATGGTTTCTAATATGGGATATTGGAAAATTACCATAAAAATCGTAAGGATTGTCGTTATGACAGTGAAGGCCCCACTAGTCAGTATCGGTTGACCATAGAAGTTGTAGATAATTGGTCTGTACGGGAACTGCACACAAAGTCTTACTTAGATACGTATCTGTGTTATATTGCCTTTTTCCAATTGTTTTCTTATGAAAGTGTTCGCACTTAGAAGTTACTTTAGGCTTAGATGTATGCGCTCAGTGTTTTCCATTTGATGCAGTTTTTTCAAGATCTGCTAGTTGCAAGAAGTTCTAGAATGAATTAGACTCTGTTAAATTTGAAAAGAATAACATACAAATAATACACCAAATATCACGGCCATGATGAGTACTAAGATTAACACTAAATATTAATGTGACTATTTTTTGGCTCTAATCTTCTTTCCATTAATTTTTATCAACCAGGTAAACAGCATATTGAAGAAACGGGAAACGGACCGGCGCAAAAAGGAAAATCCGTTCAAGCCTCACATGAGCTCTAACGAGCAGGATGGATGTAAATGAGGCTTAACGCAATTTGGTCAACATATTTTTTCTCTAATATATAAAAAAGAGCTGAATATATGTATATTCAACTGTATAATTGTTCGACTATTAATTGCTAGAGCTCCATTGCGTTACACAGCCATTAGCAGCACCAGCAAGTAGCTTACGTATCTCCTACTTGAAAATATATTAGGCGTATATTCTGTGTACTTCATAACTAACCAAAACTTAGCTATCGATATCCAAATGAGGTGAGGTGAACTGTATTATTACCTGCTCATTGTTTATATGTTCTTTCCTTTTAATAGGGTCAAAGGCAAAGTTAGCAGAAGCTACAGCTAAAGCAGTACACATTCAAATCGACCCCTTTTCAGGAATTCGAATCAGGTTAGCCTTATGCAGTTCTCACAGCAGAACTATTATACACAGAAAATCTCATCGAACGCTCAATGAAAAAATATAGTGTTAGACTAACAACAGTAGACTTTGTTGAACAGGAACCCTGTTGTTTCTTCGGATTCTCTTCGCTCGAAAATGATTGGTAGAAAGATGGTCAAGATATCCACCGTCGGAAGCTACCTTCATAAAATGAAGGTGAGAACGTGAAAATAAAAAAGGAGGAAACCTGCAGATTAACACTAAAAACTAATACGATATTGTAGTGAAAACCTTCATCCTATATATATCATTTGCAAAACTGACCCGTGCTTCGTCAAGAGAAACTTTTTGTACAGTGTAAAGGTCTGTTTATTTAGTTTATGATACTATTATAATGATTATCATTTGTTTTTGTTCAGGGAGCAGCCACTGGCGGTGGCTGGACGTGGGCTATTATTTTGGCAAGTGGCAAGTTTGCATATTTCTGCTTAAATTTTTTCCATTTTGTGGCTCTTTCAGGACCGCGAAGAGGACTGGGTGACGATAGCTGTAGTTGTCCATAAAAGCGATCCAAAGTCTTCAAATAAAAGCGGCAAACTATTTTCGGTCGTTAAACTCGGCGATTTGCAAGTATGTGTAAAGTTAAATTATTCAGTATGTGAAGTCCGTTTTTTGTCAACCAGAACTAATGTTTTTGTGTATTGATTTGTCTGTATTGAAAACGATTGCTTTCGCAGAATTTAGAGATAAGTGTGCAGTTGTTCTTGTTCAATAACGTCCACACAGAGCTGTGGCAACGTCTGCAAGAGGGTCGAGTCGTTGGATTGCTGAACGCTAGAATGTTGCCGAACCGTGAGGGTTCACAAGATACATCACTATCAATTGATCATGCAGGCAAACTTTTGGAATTAGGAGACGCTCAGGATTACGGAACCTGTCAAGGCAGAACGAGGGTGAGTTGAACTCATATGCAGAGAACTTGTTCAGTGATTGACTTTCACATACGTATGTTTTTTACGATAACGTTCACAGTGTAACCTAGGCGGGCAGAAAAATGAACTCTTGCATTCCTATAACTTTACGCATAGAGCGCTTTTTTAAATGGAATCAATATATACGCATTTTCGGTCAACAAATTTACGTCTGGATTTTGTAACTGAGTACTTTGCAGGGCAGCTTTTTTAGTTTCTATCTTGCTTCATAACACGTATAAGAACATGTGTGAAAGTGGCTGTAATTTATAATAGTTTTGTCATCAACTTGCTTACTACTAACAGCGCTTATTGGCTTCATTTCAGGCGGGACAAAAATGCAGCAACGTTGTTAACAAATCACAATGTGCCTATTGTGTGTTTCACGTTAAGGCTGAATTCCAGAAAATGAGCAGTAAACGACCAGAGTGTCAGTCCAGGTATCAGCCTTAGGATGTTCTATTCTATATGACGCGTCTAACAATTTCCGTCGCTTCGAAATAAAGTGAGGTTCCCGACCTGAAACATAACCTCACGTCGTTACCGATTACAGAATAAAGCGGTTCGGTTCGGCCTCAGAAAAGCACTAGCCTTTCGGTCATTGTCGATATCTTGTCTTATTTTGTCTGTTACCCTGAACAGTTACTCAGGTGCGGACCCAGGTCGGCTTCGGAAGGCGGTATTTGAAGCAACCGGGGGTGTTTATGGCGTTCCTAAGGGGATGGCAGCTTCGATGACGCGAGCCGAGTTGCGCGCTTCTCTTAGGCCAATTGGCTCGACTAATGCTGAGCGTAAGCAAAGGGAACGACTCGTAAGTAGAATCTGTCTCACGTCTTAATCAATGTCTTGTAGTGTTTTCTGTGAATTCACCTATACATGCTCCATGGAGGTTCTATAGGGTTATCTTGGCATCTACGCTTTTATAAAGCTGATCAACTAGACTACCCACAAATTCGAAATAAAGCTGCCAAACTAAAAATTTACGATGTTACCGCTCCGCAGTCATGGAGGCGTGCTCAAAAGGATTCTCTTGTCCTTTTAATAACAATCTTTCATTTAGCTTACTCGGGTATGCGCGATGTGTATCTATAGGCAAATAGAGTATTATTTCGCCTAAAGTTTTGTGATTTGACATCTACCATTAGGTTATATTATTCTCACAAGCGACTACTATAAGGTGTAAGTTGAATTAAAAAAAAAAATCATTATCTCTATCTTTTGTATTCCATGGCTTACTTTCGGTGCGAACATTATACAAATATAAGAAGGACAACTCACATTTCTGCCGTAATACTGTTACGAGTACTGAACGAGGCGTTCAAAACCCTTGATTTTCCATTTCTTATATTTTTGTTTTTCAGATCCTTTCTAACTTGGAGTTGAAACGTAAAGCTGATACGCATCTAGAGAGTATGGCTAAAAAGAAGCCCAGCCTTGGCCCGACAAGTTCTTCAGCCTCCTCATCTCAAAACAGTCGAAGTAGCGTCGCCGACGAATTTATGTCAGTCCTATTTTTCTTACATATTAAGCAAACAGGACATTAGCTGTATCCTGCCGATATCAGTGGTACTTAGCAAAAAAACAAAACCGCAAAAGCTAACTTACTACTTCTTCGTTAGCGTAAGATTTAGTGCATATAATATATTGGTTTAAGTGAAAACTGCTAAAAGGTGGTATTGTAGTAATTCTAATTTGCGGTAGCAACTTCCAGTGAAGCTCAGCTAAAAACGCATGGACCGGGTGCTCGTCTAATGCGAATCGCTCTTGGAAAGGAGGAACCGCCTTCTAGTGTTCAAAAACTTTCCAACGGGATTATAATTTCAGAGGTCTGAATCGTTCTGCAAAAAGCTAAAATTCATAATAACAGCGAATCCAAACATCACATTTGGTAATATTGATTGGTACTAATATCATTGTAATTATATTCAATAAGCTCTGCAAATTAATCTTAGGCTGTGATTTTGAGAGAGTGTAAAGTAGAGATAGATAAAAACCAAACTTTATTTATAACAAATATATATATTCATACCCTTTCTTTTTTAATTTAAATATTTTACCCTTTTATTTTGTTTATTAAGATGATGAATAATTTTGCTATTTTTTTTTATTTACCTCAGCCTATGAGTCCTGGCGAACTTCTTCGGCAACATGCATTTCGCAAGCAGGTGGTATCCATGACTCCAAAGTTAAGTGGCAGTCCTGGGGGAATGGTCTCACTTGGGCCTAACAACCTTAAAGGGGACAGCAAGGTAAGCTCGATTTAAATATAAAATATATTCTTCAAATAATGATACCATGTGTAAAAGTTTATTGTCACTAGGAGGCTTACTTTATCAGGGTAGATACTGCATTAATATTGAAAGATTGTTCCTTGTCCTGCATATTCATACGTGCAACGATATCAAAATAGGACACCCCAAGTAGCACAACAATAATCGTAAAGCTTAATCCTCTGTGGTAAGATTCACATAATTTCGCTTCGTCAATTTCTAATCTTTCTCTAGTTACGGGCAGCACGCATCCTAAAAGGAGCTGCGATCGCTGCAGTAGATCCAAATGCCGTTAAAAGATCGGTAGACAAGAACCGAGTGCTACAAAAGGTGGAAGACGCAAATAAAAATGGAACAGATGAAGCTGACAAAGAGAAGTTTAAAAACGTCAAAAACAATTTAAATGGCGCCAATGTACCGAAAGGCAAGAAAATAGTTTTAGGAAGAGAGGTAGATGAAGACGATGTTAAGAAAATGTTAGCTCGCAAATCTACCCACCAGCACGAGGTTGACGAGGTGAGAGTTTCAGACAATTTGAAAATACACAACACTTACCTGTAATGCAAACGCGGTAAAGCCACGTTTATATTAGGCGTATCAAAATGCTTTGTTTTTTAGAACGTATTTTATTATCAGTTGGTCGTTGTTTCCCTACAAGGTTGCTCAGTTTGGTTTTGTCATAGAAAAAGGAGGCTGGATGGCGATAATTCACTACGGTCATTGTACACAGACGTTTAACGCTATATCGTCCTTATTTTCGGTGCGCCTTTGGCTTTAAAATAATGTTCGATCATTTTTGAAATATCTTCCGCAACGTTCTATCATTAGTGTCGTCATTGAGTAAATGCGTAGAAATAAAGCGATATTCTGGCATCGATGACCTACGTCGCGTAAATGATGATCCGTATCGATCATTTAAACGAATACAACAATGGTGTTCTTATTTCGTTCCCGGGTGATAGGTCGAAGAAGCAGCAAAGGAGGCGTACTTCGCTAAGCTTGAACGCAAGGAAGCGCTTGAACAGAAAATGCTGTCAACAATGTCCGTTAAGGTAAAGGTGGTTTCGTGTGCGACTTGTCGCTATACAGCTGTCGCAGCTTCGGACTATTGTCAAAAGCAAGGCCACGCAATAAAGACCCACGAGGCAACTAAACGCTTCTTCCGTTGCTTGCTCTGCAAGAATCGTACCATCAGCTTTTGCAAATTGCCATCCAAGCCTTGCAGGTAAGGTACTTTCAAGCTTGTTTTGTAGAATGTCATCCCCGCTCTATTGTAGGCCAATAGATCACCTCCCTGAAACGCTGGAAACATCGACAATTTGCAGTTCATCAACACATGGAGGTATGGCTCTGACGACTTTTGCTTCGGAGCTACTTCTGATTGGCGATTCAAGAAGAGTCGTTCAATACTACACAAACGGAAATAATTTCTATGTTTAAGTTAATAAATTGTGCTACGTTGATTACTGCTTCACGTTTCAGACGTTGCGAAAGCTCCGAGTGGGAACGAGTGGCAATGTGGTCGGAGCGAGAGGGACCTCGAATGGATTATGAGATTCTTCAGCTTCGAGGCCAGGAAAAAAAATTTATTGACAGCATATAATCACGTGACAATCATTGGCTGAACTGACGCCTGACTTAATGCTACATAAGTAGACTAGAGCTTGTGGTCACACAATATACATTGATGAATTATTTCTTAACATTATTGTGGAGCAAAAATCGTTTTGTGGTACAGTGGATGCCTTTTTGCACGAACAACTCAAATATCACACTAAGCAAAGTGAAGCTGTGGCTTTCGAAATTATGCTGTAGCCTTTTTGTCTGCAGCTTAATAGCAAAGATAATAATCATTAAAACAACCTATTATCTGTCAAGACGTTTGAAGATGTACTCACGTTAAATGCTGTCACGTTATGCAATATTTCACTACAATGTTTGCGAAAATAAAAAATAACAAATTGAAAAAATACAGACTTAATAGAAGGGTGTGTTTCCATTATGAGACATTGTCTGAGAAGAAATTTATGAACAACTATGATTGTACGTATTGTATTATCGTACCTATATTATTTTATTAGATAAAGATAAGTCTAACTGATATGATGTTTCTTAGATTGTTCCACAGTTCTTTTTAAAACATTGTTAATATACATAATATTTCATTAAAGGAGCGAATTCTAATGGCATTCAAGTTAAATATGGGAATCAATTGAAAATGGCTAAATTTGGACAGACAGTTTTGTTGTCGCACAAGAAGGTGTCTCTTTTAATAGCGTTAATTACCACTAGTTAAATGATATTAACATTGTATTCTAAATAGGAGGTTTGGTAATCTTTACTTTAATACTAATTTTAATTAGTTTTCATCGGCAATGAAATTAATTGCTGTTACTAATGTTTTATCAAAATGTATATGGTTAATATATATTCGCAGCTTAGCGCGGTTCACGTTATCACTATTCTTACGTTTTGTTAGTCGTATATATATATATATTTGTTTCTTTTTAGTAGTTTATATAAATATCTGCAGTTATAAAAAACGCTCCCTTAATAATCAATTTTTAGATTGATTCCTAAGCAACTCCCAACAATTCCTAAACAAATTGTTTTCATCTTTTAGGCATGACCTTAGTGGTGATTCTGTACCAATACTCAAAGTCCCAGCAATAAACACCAACAGATTGCAACGAGAGTGAACAGTTTGACTAAGTATCCGAAATATCGAAGTAATTTCTGATGCTACATTTATTGCATATATATATATATATATATAGCATACGTGATCAACTTAGTTTTCGTTTGGTATATATACATATACATTGGTATTATAGCACATTAGCACGATCATTTATAAAGTTAAAAGTAATCAAATTTTACATAGGACAATTCGAAAATGTAGGAAAGGATCACAGTTCCGGATTTATCGAATCGAACAAAACCTTAATTTTTTTCCAGTACAGCGTTCGACCATGCCTGCAGAGTGCATCTTCCGCATACGGTATGTGTCCAGTTGATTGAAGACAAAATAGGAATTGATTTGTCGGCATTATTATACTTCTTCGACTTTAACTGTTTGTTTTTCGCATTCGTAATTTTATTTGCCCAAGAAATCAGATTGGTTAATAAATTATTTTGCCATGACCGTCCCATGCCGTCCTCAGTGGGTTCACAGGCCACGTAAGTACTAGAAATGTATGACGATTCTTACAATCTATTCATCTTAACCTATATATATATATATATATATATACATAACCGATATCTACAGTCATCGGGAGGTGTCAAAAGAAAATAAAAACACATTTGAGAAAAAGCTTTACACTTCAGTTTAGATGGATCGTAGCCGTATTAAAATCGGACGCTGTCACTCGGTGGATGACATGTTATAACTGCTATTTGAAATTCGTTTGGTACGCGTCCACAATATGTGGACGCGTACCAAACGCGCATGGGAAATAGATTGTCATTTCATGTAGAACCATATTTACGTAATCTTCATTGTGATCATCTAATTTCTTAAACAGAGACACTCTCTGTAGCTGTTTGCTGCGGTTATCAAATTGCAAACTATAAATAAAAAAAAATAACAAAAATAACTAAAAATAACACCAAATAAATGTATACGCCATACAGAAATATAGACAAGAACAATAATATCGTCGACGGTGATGACTAAAGTAGCGATAACGGGTGACAATTGTAAATGTGAGAATATAATAATTGTCGAATAAATAAGAACAAGTAAAGTTATTCTCAGGACGTATGTAGTCCTTGTAGTGAAGAGCTTGGCTTTTCGAATCGTGTATTCGACTTAAATATACAAATTAGTAATTAGCAATTAAACAAAATTGCAACACGCTTGTTCCAGTGGATTTACGGCTATATATTTATCTTATTTGTATTCAAATTCAATGAAACCCGCGATATGTATCGTGGTCCTTGTTTTACCGATCGGACTAATAGTTGCCGAGGTGTGTGACTTGAACGCCTGAAAACGTGTTCGTGTTATCATCTGATGTCAAGAGAGACGGCGACCTTCAGAAAGGTTCCGCCGAGATTCGTAGTCATCATGGTGAGTCTATGTGAACTCTCTCGCCCCCGTTTAAGGCGTCATGTGATAAACGTTCCAGAGTCGATTAGCGCTTAGCATTTTATAAAAAAAATATGTTAAAACTGAATTTCATCAAAAAATCATCATCAAATTCAAATCCTGTTGACTCTTATTCGTATTTGCTATTACGAGCTAAACAGTTAATTGCCGATGTTAGGATGCATGGTATTTTCCCCTAGTTTTTTTCCGAATTTAAATGTAATCTGAAGCAGCGTAGAATCAGTAAACTAAAATATTTTCTCCCCTTCTGCGGATGATCTAATGATTTTTTCCTCACCAGGCATCACATCCGATAATGTAGACCGCCTGACAACAAGGGCCAGTGTTCCAAATATGTAGTCAAAATGTGTAGCTGGCCTAGTTTAGAAATTGCGCGAGTTACTTATTGACACTCTTAGTACTATAGAATATGCGAATTATAGGTATGTGTCATTGTTCTCGCTAAAGTACCATTCGGAAAGAATGCACTCAATCTTATCGCTGAATACCTTAGACTCGCTAACTTCGGAGTACCCAAATCGATGTAACTTATCCGAATCGTTGTCGACAAAGTTTAATGGCCCCGACCATAGAGTAAGAGGGTGGTCGAAATCGATATTTCGCAACAGGTAGATAACGATACCGTAACCGAAGTAACTCTCTGCGCTCAACTTAATTTCAAGCCCGATCAAGTACAGTATCGGATTTAGTTTGTAAAAAAGATTTGTTTGTAAAAAAAAGCCAGCATTAAATAATATTTCCAAAAACATTAGCCTGTGCTTACGAAGTTCCGATTTTGTTTAGAATGGAGACGGTCAGTTACTTTTGAAGCTGCGATTCATTTTCTTCATACAGCACAATACGTTAAAAGCTACGTTTCGAGTGGCGAGATATCATGGGTACTGAACAAAACATGAACGGCCTCGGATCTCGAAGTATTAAGCTAACACGATGTGCAGTAGTGAGAACCCAACTCTTCTAAATGATCGATCCATCACGAGCGTGATTCCAGGTGTCAGGCAACTCATCTCATCATAGCAATGCTTGCGAGGGGAACTCAGGAAGGTTTTCTTTATTTTTACGAATAATCCAGTCGGAACTGATTTCCAGCAGAAGACAGCACTTTGGCAGATGATCCTAGTCACTATCGGGGATAGCTACAAATGTTAAAGTGACAACGATCTAAAGCTTTGATACAGTATACGTTATGATCCGAAAACTCTCCACAACCAGTTTCTGTATTCGCGAATGCACACATCCGATATGAATGTCTCTAGACGTTGGCCGAGTCCCTTAGCGGTATTTTATATCGACTAGCGAATAAGAAAGCTGCCAAGAAGTTCAAAGGGTCCTTTTGGGATTAGCGTCTAGAAGGGTCCAGACGGCTGTAGAATAATTAGGTCGTCCTCGGTGTATCAGGTTCAGAAACGTGCTTGCGTACTACTACACTGACGTGCAATAGCTCGAGGTCAATGAGAGACGTCTCCGTTACGGTTCTTAGGGACGCATTCGTAAAGTCAGACACCCTATATTTCTTAGCAAGCGAGTATGATTGCTTGATTCTGTAAATTTATTAAGCATTGATACAATGTTGCCGAAGGATGCTAAGTTAAATAAAATTTTGATATTGTTTTTAATGCTGATTTTGAAGCACAGATGAAAATTATGCTCTATCAACCTTTAATGAAGAATTTTATTGCGTTTACATTTGTTCGTCTATTGAAGTTTTGTTTGATTGTTACTGCCTTTAATTTATAGGTTATCGTTCTTTAATGTAAACAAAATCAATAGCGTAATTGTCGTTGACCTGAAAATAACAATACAACTTTGGTTGAAGGCACAAATAGCAAATTCAACCATCATTTTTCAAAACTCAGAATATATACTAACATATTAATAATTATTCGTTACTCTATACGCAAAGTCTACCCAATTCTATAAATCGTTTTAAGTTTTGCAATGGTCCGGACAAACTTAGAGGTCATTCGTGATTTACTCAAACATATTGGTAAATCTTTCCATGCCCCTTTCCCTGTATCTGGTTATCAAAAAGACGGTAAAAGTTTTTGAGGTACGCAGGCGTACGTTAGAAGTCCTCGATGATCCTGGTGAAGAGCTGTTCTTGAGAAACTGACTACTAGTGACACCATATCAGTTTTTTTTAAACAGTTAAATATAGTCGTTTGTAAAATTTTATATTACTATCTAAATATGATGGCAGGTTATGCTGCACGAGGAAGCTACGAATGGAGTTCCAAAAGGTAATCTTCTGTGTTACCGTTGAGCGATTATTAATCGTAAGCCTTAATTGAGCATTTGTTGCTAATGGCCTTTTTTAATGTGACAGGTTCGTATAGCTGGTGTTGTACCCGATATATTCTTGCCAAGATGCGATCGTTCAATGGAAAAATTCGAAAATCATCATACGTCGAAATATAACAGATCGCACGCGTGCAATATCAGGTCCCTGCCGGACAGTGTTTTCTAATGCCGGATCAGACAAATCGTTCAACATGTACAATTCAGGCTAAAAACGCTTAAAAAACGAGAACTGCACCTAAACTTGAACGACCTAAGTTAGTCATGTGCTTCTGCGGCTTATGAGAAAATCAAGGTTTGAGGTTGACAAGTGAAAAGCGTCCTCTGGTTAACTTTGCTTTTCTGCGATAATAACAAGTTAATAACCAATGGCTATAATAGAAATATATGTAGGTGCATGAAATACGTTTGAAAGTCCGCCTGCTTCGATGGGCCTGTGTTTATTTCAAATTGATTCATATCTTTTGCCAAATTCTAAAATGAACGTAAGTTCCACATAAAAGTGGGCCCATTTACGTGTACACGTCTATTCGCGGCGCATCACATCCTGTACACCCTTGATCCAGTCAACCGCCTCGGTGGTACGGCTGAAGATAGTAGGGTACTTGATCGAACCGCAATAAATCCCGAAGCTACAAACACCAGCTAAATACCAATGTCCGTTGCGGATGCATTGAAGAGGGCCACCGGAATCGCCTCTGCAAGTTCCACTCCCTTCACCGCGTGTGGTGGCTACACACATTTGGCGGGAAGTTAGGTTAACAGGAACCATGAGATCCGACCAAGCGCTAGCACATCGACCCTGTGTTGGTACTTGAACCGGTAGCTTCTGAAGGATATCGGCCGTATGGCTGGAGTCCTCTGTCACAGAGAATCGTGCCGAAAGGAAATCACACATTTTTAAAAAAAATATATTACAAATATCATAATTGCGGTTGTTGGTTATTATTCATACACTATGTGATCATATTTTGTAAATCAAAAAGTGATTAGGTCATTTTAAAGAGAACTTTTAATTACGAAATTTATGATTGGAAGAAAGCTGTATAAACAGTACTTACTAGTGTCTAAAGTAAGTCCCCATCCAGAAACCATACAATCCATGTTGTCAAATACTTTTGAATCGCTTGCCATAGGCATACAAATGGGGGTAAGGTGTGAGTGGGTAGCCGCGAAGTCGAGAGGTTCTGGCAGCTGAATGAGCGCATAATCGTAATCTAGGCTATCAGCGTCAAACAAAGGATGCACGAAAACATGATGGCGGGGCACAACTTCTTGCACTGAAGCCAGTTCTGCACAAAATGATCAATATTATTCTTTTTCACTAGTAAGCATTGTATAACTGTATCACTAATTTTTGGTCATTTTCGTATCGGTAGGGCACTTGTAAGCTTCTTTTATATTTGTTGGTATATTATATTGACATTTATGGAGCTCTGCGTAGCTATTTATAATAAATAGAGGTTAGTTAGCTCTGTTGGTCACCAGTACAGCTATATATATACATAAATCGTATCCGTTATTTCTATGCGTCATGAAAGCGGCCAGTATTTGAAACCTTGAAGCTTACTTTCAAGACGGGTAATATTGTGGGCACCAAGCACGATCCGCGAAGGAACGCTACCGTTCACTTTCATTTCAAAGCAGTGGCCAGCCGTAAAGACCCAATCTTTGTCGATAATTGACCCACCACAATTATGGACCCATGAGCCAAACTTGTCTCTCTCTTGCAAGGAGATTTGCCACGGGAACTCTTGGGGAAATGCGTCATCCCCTTGCATAATGTAGTTTATTATCGGGAGTTTGGCTGGAACACCACATTCTATCTGTTGTACAAATGCGCAAGCGCCGGAAGTCGCAAGGAGCACAAAAGCCGCAACAATTATAGAGTTCATCGTGACTGTGGTTCTAAGTGGCTGCTCAGTGGCTTTTATATAGAGAAAGGGTAACCTTGGTTTGAAATCGAAACGCGACGCTTGGCATAGGAAAAGAGGGCAATCACCATCAGACGACTCGAAGTGCTGTGATGTTATCGCAAAGAACATGTTACCTATATAGTTTGATAGTGGATCTAATGGAGCCGTGTATGTATATTTGGTCTTGGGTTTAATGAATGTAACACTATAGCAATATATGACCACTATTGCAATTCAGTTAACAATGATTGTCTCATCGACAAGACAGGCACAGCGTAATACCCATTTCGTGCCTTTCTTGGACTACACACGAATTAACTATGACGTATTTCTGAAATTTGAAAACATGTTGATTCATAGCTTAAGTAAGCAACCGTTTATCGTTAGGTAACGTTCTTATCCATGTAACAAAAAAGCTTCATGGCTATTATACGGTGAAGATATATGGATAGAACTAATGGAGCTTTTAAGATTACCTATTTAGTCAAGCTTTTAATAAGTTCAGTGTCTGATGCAATTTATTGCAATAGCATTTTTCCGCTGTTGCCATTTCATCCGCGGGAGCTGCAAACTTTGTCGCCATCAAAAATGTCTACTTTCATATATAGAAAACATTTTCGATCTCTGCCTTCAGCTCAAGACCTACTTTTCCTCTGAATGTAGGTTTCTTTCCTTCGTATGATACATACAACTTGCCACTTTCGTGAGTGTTTTCAAAATACTTTAATAAAACGATACGTGTCTACTGTTCTAATAGCACACAGGCATCACTGGCTAGAGCGACAGGAGCCCTTAGGCGCCTTTTATAGTAGAGCACATAGAACCTTAGCATTTCGTGTCACATAAAGCAGTTATAGCTAATACGTTTCTAGCGGTTTTTTTTTAATCTACCTAAAATAGCTTCATTATTTATTATGCATATCTCAAGTATCGCTCGACATAGATATCAACGCGACTTTGAAAATTATCAATTAAAATTAGTAAAGTTTATAGTATACGTACTCGTAGAAAGAGCATTACGAGTCTAATCTATATATATATATATATATGGCAGTGCTCATATTTTGCTAGCGCTTTAGAGTTGGTTTAGAAAATAGTCTCAAACGTTTCAAAGTGTTCTATTATACGTATACTGTTTAGAAAACAGCTCAAGCCCGAAAAACCGCATTGAGAATTATGAGCGGATGGTGTATTATATCTGGTGAGCCTTTTGGTTTCAACTTTTCGAAATTACCATTCCATACTTTCAGGTATTGAAAAACCAATGCTGCAGACGTATAGTTAGACAGTTAACAATACCATAGGCTCGACGTAGTATCCATAACTTGATGAGCAATCCCTTCTCCGCTATAAATAAATAGAGACATGGTAAAACGCAATACAAAATGAATGCACAACAATTTTAGCTAAAGGAGCTATAGCTTTCCGAAATAAATGGCAATACAATATATAGATATAAATACACATGCAAATAGTTTTAACGTTCGAACTTACATACCTAAAAATGTGCCGTTATCTTGCTGCGTACGCGCCATGTTCGCGGCCTTTACATATTTTTCTACAGCAACATAGGTAAGAAAAAAAAACTAATTTATTTATAGCGTTTGTTTGTGACGCGGACGATGATCTTCCCGGATCCGCTTGATTATATTTAGTTTTCTAAGTTGTGAAGCACTGTGATGATTACCAAGTTCACAAATTTGTTACGGCCATAACTACCGTTCTCACTATCCCTAGGTCGAAATTTTTATTAGATCCTATTGAGGTTATTAATGTATTTTCTTTTCTAAATTAGAAACGCTGTATCACGTAATAGTAAAATTTGTAATTTGTCGTAGACAACGAAACTGTCACATATGTTTAATTATAACCCAGCTAGGATTCGTCAAGAAAATACAATGTTTCGCATTATAAATAGAGAAGTTCGAAGGATACGGTACCCGTAGAATACTGCAACATTTTTCTCGCTACTTAGGTGGCGCCACAGGGGCACTTAAGAGGCGAAGCTAAAAGCATTTTATAGTGAATAAATTCAGATAATATTGAAGATAGTTACCTGCACTTCGCTGCGAGGTATCTACAGCAGAACAACTCGATGGTACCGTAACGGACAAGGCGTGACAAAATGATGCTAGGCTAATTCATTGTTCACCAGCTGAATTCGGTACGAAGATTTCAGCAAGTAGGTCGACATATACCAGAAGAGCTTTTGAAGCTTCCCTACAATTCTTTCAAATCCATCCCGAATATCTGGTGTTCAACGTTGGCAGAAATGATCAGTCTTGGCCAGTTTGAGTTAATCTAAGCCGTAACGCCGCACTTCCTAATAGCTGTTCCCTACAAGGGTTGTTTAAATAGACTAAGCCTTTTAAAACCGCTACAATATTTATGGTAAACAATGGGCAAGCTTCGAAAGGAATGGCACTATGGTAATTTTCAACAACTTCTGGAAGTTTTTGAGCCAATACTATGTTGAAGTTATAATAAGATCAAGCCAGAGAAATAAAATTGGGTACTGCTGAGCAGGGCATAGCTACGATCACATTTATAAATTTGAATACGAGATATAAATACACGCTCTATATTTTCGATTTTATCAACATATTTCTGCAAGGGCTCTGATATCGTCTAGCATTGGTGCCTCCTCAAAGGTTTTTCATCGTTTGTTACACGATCGGAACCACTTTGATTGTATTATACCTAAAAAGAAAGGCGTAATCTTTATGACAGAATGAGACCGACTTTGTGCTTTTTTTACATTGGGATATCGTGGATCGGAATAAATTAGTTATCGTCTTAATTGATAATAAAAAGCGAAAACGATTAGTGCTGTCTTAAATTAGGGGCTATTTCTTGCCTGTAGGCTTGTATGGTCAGTTCTTAATGCAATGTCTATCTTGTAGCTCTAGAGGGTAGCCGTGAGGTGTCACGGCAGCAGAACCTCCATTACTCGATCTTATTAAGATCTTTTCAAAAATCAGGCAAATCGTGATGCCGGAGATGATTTAATAAGTAAATTAGAACCTATTGCTCCGGAAAACAGATTCTGTATTTATACGTAACCATATAGTAATGTCAACGAGTTGCTAAACCATTTAGGTGACACATTAACATATGGCGAAGCTGACGCTACCTCTGCAATCATACGACGTGTGTGGGTGCTAAAAATGTGTAAAGACCAAGAGCAACTATACAGACCCATCACTTTCCCAGATAACTACAGCCTTTAAACTTAGCTGATGCGTGCTACGACGCTCTATATATATATATATATATATATATATATATATATATATCTATTGGCACCAGCATCCCTTCTATTGCTTTTTAGCAAAGATATCTTAAATTGCTTTATATATTCGGCAATTCAAGTCCTTCTACACAACGGGTAACATGCTCTTCTGTGCTTTGCAAGGTCCACGGGTGGTATTCTCAGCGATCCGATTAAAGTAATCGACTCATCCAAGCACTGTCGTGACGTAGAGGTACGTTACTGGGTGCGCCGCACTAGAGAGCGAAATTGGCCGGTACCGGCCAGAATCCACTGACCAGAAGTATTATAGGGAACTCTCCAAATTGATTCCGCACGGATTTTTACCTACGCTTCAAAGTGCGGCAATACAAAGTTGCTAAGCTGTCAATGTTACCTTCTCGTCGAGATGGGACGTGGTACCACCACACCTGTAAAACCGTTTCCTTCTGAACCTATTCATGAATTGGTGGCTAACATAAACAGTTTTGTTTCTTAGGCAGCACAGATTCCTGAGCAATGTAAGTATTTTGAAGAGCATCATTTGTTCAGTCAGCGTGTTCAGTTTCAAAAATAAGTAAATTGAAAAGGGCAGCCACATTCAGCTACTGATTAATGCGTAATTTATCATATTATACTGTTCCATGGATAGCTGGGATGTGTTCGGTTTGAATTAGATCTACCATAACTTTTTCTAAGTGACCACAAGTTTGTTTGGTATATTTAAGAAATTGATCTTATTCTATCAGGTGGCATCCGCAATTTATTGCAACTGCCATTGCCAATATTATGTTCAACATGCTCTTTAATTTGGGCTAGGCAAAAGCTGTCACCTTTTTGTACGGCATTCAGTCCATTCGAGCCAGTAAAGGCTTATTCTTCTAATCGATCAGCAAGGGCTAGGAGTCCAGCATCATACAATACATCACTCAGGAGCGTAATGAGGTTTTGTATGAACAAGGTGACACTTCTCTGGATACTTGTTGCTGAACTGCTTTTTATATTCAGTGCTTCTGTCCTTGGATCGAGGTTTCATGTTTTACGTTCGGTATCGCCGTTAGGCATCCCATCAGATGGCTGCCTCCCAGCACGAAACGTTGTGCGTCTAGACTCGGATTCCGTCCTAGACTCAACGTGTCCCTGAGATTAGCACGCACATACGTTGAGCACTAAGCTGTCGCTTTCTTAAGTCTAGTTCAATTTTGCATAACCATAGCATAATGCCAATGGTAATACACAGCGGTAAATGCTACCTAGGTTGCACCTAAGAAAACTACGGTTGTGCAATACCTAGCCTCAACTAGCTAGAGCTTCCTCAAAGCATAACTCGTACTATATATACCATGTTGTTCAGATGTTTTTTTTCAGCTAAATGGTCACATTTGACGTAGGCTTCTTCATGTTCAACACTGTGTACTACATTTTCAACATGTATAGATTCCCCCCAGATCCCGAGGTATTTATGACTGTCTGTCGTAACCCCCCATCTAGTTGTCGTGTGCTCCATGTTGCCCGAAGTATGTTGACCGACCTATCTTTGGCATGCAGATGGGCATAAGGTGCGATTGGGTTCCAGCAACGCAAAGTAGCAGCCAAAGCCAGATTAGAACAAAATCGTAATTCAAATGAATTGTGAAACTTTAGCCGCATGGACATGTTACCAAATGCAATTATCTGTGACGAAACGCTCTCTGTCACTACAAATACAAATGATATGTTAGACTTTTTGCTAAAGTCCTTGTTCTAGATTAAACAGTAAAGATATGCTACTATTTTGATCGAATCTTGCTTCTTAAGTATGATACTTTATTTTCCGCTAATACTATCTATGATGAAATAATGATTAAAACCGTGAGGTGTCTATGGCGTATTTGTACTTTAGGGGGACAGAGCATCGATCGTCAACAGTACTATCAATTGCACATAGGGCTTATGGTGGCGGTTATTATTGGACATTTTGTCGTCTCCCGTTGGAAGGAAGCGCCAATTGAAGGCTCGATCCAAACGTCTGTCTCAAGTAAGTGTTTTTTGCCCACAGCATCGAATAATTAGTAAGTAAGGTGGGCAGTTATAACTAAGCATCCACTCAGCAAAGTAGAGTCAGATAAGCAAAGTCTATAAAGGATCCTTGTCGACACAATAGTGTAAAAAAAGGAAAAAACACCTACATACATAAACTTCGATTGAGATTGCTATACTACTAAAAAAAAAAAATACGAATGTTTGATGTTGTAACGAAGATTCCCTAGATATATAATCAGTCAGCTCACATTTATGATAATAGGAAATAGCGTCCTCTTAGAAAGTATAAACGGCTAACTCTTGTGTCGAGTTATGAGAGTGCCTGTGGAAGAAGCAATATGCTGATCTCCTACTATACACCGTAGACTAATAAAACATAGTATTCTTCAATCAACGACACCTCCCAGGCCAAGATACGACAATAGCAACACTGCGTTTAAGGTCACGCTTGTTTCGATCTAATGCAAAATCTCGCGTAAAAATTTCCATCAGCGATGCATCCAATTCGAATGGTCATTATAGACATACGGGGAACCTTTGACAAATGATGCCTCGCTTCTCTAAAAATGTAAAGTCTCCGAGAACCCATAGTTCTGATTCAATCTGAATGCGTGTGTGTTCCTATACGCATAATTAACATACAATATGTGGGGATGTACATCGGGGTAGAGCGGCAGGCTGTCAATAGAGATAAAGCTGAATAACCTGCGCCAGGTTGCCAGCTCGCTACTCATCTGGCGCCAAGATAGCAGTGAATAATGATTAATATCTAAAAAATATATACAGATGGTAAAGTTCAGGAACACCGTAGGATTATAGCGGAAAGACGCCAGAAAAACGCGTTAAAATTTAGGCGGAAAATAAAGCAAGCCTTTAGGACAAAGGTACATGCCACACAGGATGACTTTAGCAACACGCAGAAGCCTCAACTGAAGGCAACAAAGCAACGATTCATGTTGCAAGTCGTCCCAACTGTGACAACGCTTTAATAGAATAGTAAAATAGTTTGAGATTGACCCTATTATAATGTGAACTTTTCCAAGAACAAAATTTAATAGCGAATCAGCGATAATATATAAGACGCAGCTAGGGGGGCGAGACGCTCTTTGTCAGTAGTCAGGGAATTCCAAGAAGACGTGTGGAGACATATGGTAAATATTATATTGCAACATATACTGCTTACTAATCGTAAATCCAAGCTGATCAATCGTAAGCAATCTAGAATTTTCGAAAAGCAACCTATTGTTATTGCTATGCTAATTTATTGATGATATTATAAAATGTTATTATTGTTATTAATCATGATAATTTATGTGATCTCATACGAGCTTGGTCAATCAATTGGACATTCCTTAAAAATTTCCAGCTCACGCTGGGACCCATGAGACTCATGGCCCTACGTGCATATCTATATTGAATGAAGTTACCTAATTACTTACCATATCGCACATCGCTCAACTTAGCGGTACGTAATTGTCTAAGCTGACATTCGGAATAATGCCCCTCAACCCCCTTTTCTTTCAAGTAACGCTTAGCGCCTCAAGCATAACCGGACGTAAAGTACGCAAGGACGTATCAGTTGACATGCCGTTGCATTTTGTCAAAACCCATTGAAGACGCCGATCTTTGCAAGATCGATTCTGGAAGCCCTCTGCAGAGCGAGCGTTTAGAACGCTGTGTTCTTACTGGAATCAGCCATTAGATGAGGGAGTTACCCCCCGGCTGTAATTAAACAACTGAGCCATCTCGGACAGTAAATCTTCATTAAGAAATAGGTTAAGACGAATTCAGCTCTTTTTATCGAAGAAATGAAGTATCGTTTATTTACATCATATAGTAAAGTAAGGATCAAACCCTAATTAGATTCCACTGAGTAGCGTTACAATACGACCGTAGTTATTAAGCATTACTTTTTCGTATCACTGTAAGATTACTTTAGTGTTATTTTATTACCAAAGGGCATTCGACAACGATCATAATCCTTTAGTTAACGCCGAAATGCCCTTCATCTTCAGCGCCGATTAGGTGACGGCAGCCTACTGAATATATGCATGTAGCTGCTTCCAATAATACGCATTCTTTTTACGACAATTTTCCATAGGTCAAAAAATGTTTGCCAATAATTCTATACAACCACTGCCAACCGGTCGAAGCAGGTTGACGCTGGGGGGTGTGGGAGAAGGAGAATATGATTATGTTTACTTAGAAGCTGATTAATTTTTAGATTATACTTCTAAACACTAGCGCATAAAGTGCACGAGAAAACTGAAATCAGAGAAAGGTTATATATGTATACCTACTAATATAAAGGAGACAACGTTGGTCCTACGACTTGCCTAGCAACCTGAACGTAGGTGATTCGTATTATAAAAAAATCTATTGATTTCCTAGAAGTCTGCGTGCCTATGCACCGGGTTACTTGCGCGCTTGTCCAATGATCGGCAGTTGAGGGCGGACTCCAATGGTCGGAGACCCTGCAACGTATTGCACAAGATGGAGTCCGAATAAAGACAATCCTGGATCCTGGATGTCCTATCCAATGTAGGCTCTTAGAGCACTCTGCCTTGAAACCAATGAACAAAACTGAACAAGGCCGAGCTTCCGAAAACGCTTTCGGACCAAGTGCATGATTAGAAAGTCATTTTTTGCAACAAACCATCGTAAATGAATAAATAATAAAATAAATAATATTTTAAATATTAATAATTGTATCTTTTCTAGGAGCTCGTCGTACTCATTTGTCTTAGCTTAAGTCCCAGGTTTAAGGCAAAGTTCGCATTACAGCTATCGTCAGTTAGAGACGATATGTTGTTAATAACTTCAATACTTCTAAATGAACAAGTTACATGGACGGTGGAGTTCGCGATTGATTTCGTTGCTGTTTACTAGGCGCTGCCGGAAGTGAACTACAGCAGTGTAACGGGGCTTTCAGTAAATACGAAAGCGTATGGGCAGATTTTTGGCGCTGTCGGAACCAATTATCTAGTTCCCTTGCCAGGCGTCGTTGCATAAGGCTAGCAATTGTGCCTGCCGGTTGTTTCACATAAGCCATAAACTAGAAGTGGATCGTTGCAACATCAGTTTGAGTGGAAAAGCTTGCTATACGCTCCGCCGTCGGACAGAATCATTCTTGGTGAATCTAACGTCATCTGCCGTCACACGACCCTGTGCGAGGCACTCTTTTTATTCAAGGAGGCTACACGATATATGCTGTGCGCTGTGTGTCCAGGGATGACCATTTCCGCTATCGTGCAGGTATGTTCGTCCAGCAGTGGCGTAAGGTGCTGTGTAAATGAGTAACTTTCGAAAGACGTCATCCGTTCCATTGTCGGGATTTCCTAATTCCACGAATCGGACGTATTGAAATAGCAGAAATAAAAGCGTGTGAGCATGTGGTTACGGCTCTTATCACGTTGTTTGGGACGTAGTTCCATCGGGATGAATGTTGGTGTCGATGTGACAGCATTTGAATACGTGAACTTCAAATAGAAGTTATGCTAACGATCAATCTGGACCGGTGTAGTGTTAAACGAAAACAGTGTTGATTTGAACTAGTAGATTTCATTTAATAGAAATAGCCACAGGTATACAAAGCTATTTTCGGTCATGCGTTCATCACCTAGCAGTCATAAATGTTAAGCTGTCGAGCGTTGTCAATAAATAGATGCTGAGCAAACGAACGAGGGGGCAATTAGCAATACGTAGCTAATTATTCAGTAACTGGCAGCGTCGTAAGCGGACGCAGTGGCAATGGGCAGATCGGCCCGTACTCCGTCTCGAATGGGCGAAGGTGCCACGACTCCGTGCAAGCTATTGAGCTGATTACAATGCCTGTAAAAAAAAAAAAGATACTTTCAAAATTGCTCTATTCCAGAGTGAAACAGGTTTATCAGGCACGTCAGGATGTGGCCACCGTTACATTACAGAATACAATTTATAATATTATATTTATAAGGTTACAAATGATCTCGTACGAAGTCATCCTTGATCCAGATTGCTGGTTTTTTTTTCTTTGTTTCCGAGAACTTTTCCAGTTTCTAGAATTACGAGCTCTAACACAATGTTTCGAGTGTCATTAACGACGACGACGACAACAACAGGAAAACAACAACATCTATTTCGTCACTCTCTCCGTCCAGCTGCTAACACTTTAGAAATGAGTAGCTGGCCATTTCTGGAACCGTCTCAATGACGAAGTCGTTATAACTGTTATTGTTATCCTAGCAACTAGTAATGTTTCAGTGGAAACAGGTTCCTGATGAAGGGTGAGCTATGATAACAAAAGGCACATACGTTGTACTAGTACGAGCCGATGAGCAGGGATCACTATTGGCATTGCCATTACGATACTCAATAGATTGTCACGTCTTTCCAGCAGAGTAGGGAGAATGTGGCAACAACTATTGTACATAGACATTACAATGTGGCCATGATTCTGAATCTCTCTATTGGGCTAATATATTCTCGTTAGATACAAATCATCGCTCCATCCGAGCCGTTAGCTCGTAATATGTTTTCTATTTGATACTGTTTGTTTGGCGCGTATGTCCTATGTAAGGCGCGTATGTAAAGCTTAAATGTCCTATAGTTTTTTCGGTTCCTTTGGTGCACTGTAGCGAGAGGGACTATTGCCTGCTCGTCATGACCATGCTCAGACTTGATAAGCTGGCAGATACACCGTCGCTACTTATATATCATAGCTAATGGCTACTTAATCATAAATTACTCGAATTATCTGCAAATGTTAGAGAGAGAGAGAGAGAGAGAGAGAGAGAGAGAGAGTACGCTTTCGGCAAGTTGCCAGGGCCGAGCGGAAATTTGAATTCGTAGAATTTGCCTGCATAATAACTTATGGAAGGCAGCGTAAATATTAGACCCACGAAGCAGAGCGCGAACAGGTGCCTCACGCTAATCGACTTTACGGTTCTTGAGTAGAATGCTCTCGTTATAATAATAGTACGGTTTGAAGTCCATTCATCTTTTCCTGATTCATTAGCTGTTTGAGTATGGACTCAGATCATTTAAACTAACATCTTAGTATTTTCGTCATCGCTCATAGTTTATGTAACGTATATGACGTTCCGATAATATTCTCTTTAACTTCTTGAATTAAACCTCGTTGAGGTATCCTAAGGTACGTTTGTTGTCTGCTTGAATGCGCGTCAAAGCTAGCTTTCACCTCTGCATTTATCCACCCATTAGCACTCTCTCTGTGACTGCCGCCACACACGCGGCCTAAGCCATTATTATGTATATATATATATATATATATATATTTACAAACAAAAAACGAAGAGGAAGAATTGTTCCAGCTACAAATGCGTTTAATCATCGTGTTGGAACTTGCTTGCCGCTGGTGGCAACACCAGTCATCCGTATTCTAGCCAGTACTAGCTAGTACTGCGTTTAGGGATACTGATACAAGGCAAGGGTGATTGCCGGATGATGATTTTACCCCCCAGGATTGCGAGTGAATCGTGTCGACATTTGGAAATAAGGCAGAATGCAAATGCGAGCTTTGCATTCAGCGTCCGAAACATGCTCGCGCTCATGGCAAATGACAAATAGAGATATTTTACTTAATCCGTCCGTAAAAAGTAATCTACTTTAAGCAGATCACTGGAGACACGTCAATGATCTGTCCGATATGTGTGTACACCCTTTGTGTGGCTGACCGAATTGGCCTCGACTCATCTCATTGATTTAGTAAGTGACATCTGCGTTCGTCCGATGGGGAATCGCAACCCTTTCTGCATACGAACACGCGTCATCTACCTGGATAAACTCCGCTACCAACTACTTCTCTCGAAAACTTTCGACCATTATGTCCGGCACCGCTGTTAGACATTCTAGCAGACGACTGGATCTTTCCAGCATGAAACGAAATGTATCCACGTTTCGAATCGAACGTTGGCATAGACTACGTACTGAGAGCAATAGTTCAACTTGAAAAGAGCTTTAGAGTGAACTCAATGCCCATGGGGGTGCAACTATAAGATGCTGGACGTAAATGGAGTTGTTCCTGAATCATAAAAGAAACTTGTTTAGTAAAAAAAAAAAAAAAAAAAAAAAAGCTATTATATTTCATCTATTTGTTATCTATATTTATTTTATTTGTTTGTGTCCATTGACAATCTAATACATTTGTGCAATAACGAATATATCGTTAATTTCAATTTCTTTATAAGTATATTTGACTGTTCAAGTTATTAGGAACTCTATGGGATCTATTAGGTCTTCAAAAGTTACTAGTGCTAGTGCAACGGTTATGCTCGTGTTTATCTGAACTATAGTAGTAACTCACCTCAAATAAAGAGTTCCCCTGCATCGCAACAAGGGGTGCTGTGAAGCTTTTTGCAATGTGTGCTTTTTCAGACGTTACACTCAAGTAGGAAACCTTCAGAGGACACGGTAGGATTACAGATGCTTAATAGTTTCTTGCTAGCTGCCAGCAGTAATTAGGCGATAGCAACGCAGCAACATAGATGACTTAAATCAAAGTAGCGTATCTCGTCATGTTCTAATACTTGCTGAAAAGAATTATATCTTTCTATTCTATCCTAGGTTATTGAATCGGTACTTTCAACTCTAGCTTCAGTTGATTCAGGCTTTCCTGCGTGACATCAGTAACGCCAAACTGTCATAGCATTGTTTCGGCCCGTTGAATCATACGTCGATCTAGGAAATTTTACAAAAGCCAATAGATGCTTGTCGTATGCATGACCGATTTTGCCTTTCCACGTTAACAGGATAGATTTAAAAAGGTGTTTATGTTTTATTGTAGATCTCGACAGTGGTCTAACGGGAATGACGGGCACGATGTGACGTACAGCAACCCACTGACGCAAATACGAGTTGGCTTTAAAAATGCTTGACGATCTCGTTTAATGCCTAAGTCTTATGATGCAAGTACTATTCAAATCCCTTTTAGGCGCTGATTGGAAACTTTAGTTCATGCTAGACAAAGGTGTCTATCGGATGCCCGCGGTAAGGGCGGGAGCAATCTCGAAAATCTCGAGTTTTTTGTTTTCATAAAAATGAATCCAGATTAAATATGTTTACAGTTACCATAACCATCATAAGGTCTTATATTGTTAATCCGTTATAATTAATCAATTCGCTAATTTGATTAATTTAGCTAATTAACTACTTGCTTTGTTAATAGTACGACGTTGCTCGTAACGTCAATTATAATAATTATATATATTATAAATAATTTATAATATTTCAATTACTTATTAGAAGCGTGATGGACTTTTGTTGAAAAAAAATTAGCTATATTAGGGCATCGTGTATTTATTTTGTTGCATGTCTCACATGGACAACGGTAATTTCATAGAATCAGCTGAAATATATTTTCTCAGCCATCATGAAACTTCCATGGTAAGTTTTTGCTATTACTAGAGATTTCGACGGCTTACAAGTTGCCGATACAAATTTTAACAAGAACTTCCTCTACTTAGCTCTGTTCTGTCTGAGATAATGCCGATAGTTCTCTTGAAAGCTGTTCACGTTACCCGAAAAAATCGGTGTCCTTAAAATTCAAGTTATCTAGTAGTTATCTAGTCGGATTTAGTCGGCGTTCATCCGATAAGGTATAGAGTTGATACTGACGCAGTGAAACTATGAAAAACGTCATCTGATTGCTGTTTCCAGTACTGCTGTTGAATATTTCAAGGCATTTTACAACCGTGCGTTTCGCAGTTGTCACAGAATCTGAGCGTCAACTCTTCGCGGCAAGCTCTTCGGTCTTCTCGCCGATGAGCGGACTCCAAAAATATACTTGGCGCTATAAATTACAGTCTCTTTACTGGAAAAAAAACTAATTATAGATTCAGAAAAATACTAGAGGAAGAAGTGATTGAGATCACTGTGGCTTGCTACGGTACTTCCACGTTGACTTTAAATTCGGACGGGGCCCTGTCATTGAGATTCCTAGGTGAAGAATTGACCTAGGATTCGAGCGATACGCTAGGCCCTTGTCGAGATCTCGCGTTCATGGACACGCATTATTACCACCACGTCTTGTCAATCGCGGGAGGCCGCGCAAATGAACGAGTTTACGATTGAGCTCATTGAAAACGATAAAGAAGAGCTATAAGAAAATCAACCGATCTTATCCAAAGGTATTTGCGCGCTTGTCAAAATTTAAACCTCGGACAAAAGATTCTGAGTCGTGACCATTTTTATAACGTGAAATAGCATTGCTACTGTGCTTTCGGTATACATGGAGCAGCATGGAATCACGATCCAACAAATACGACCCAATGTTCTACTTCGAGGAGATAGATGAACTCGAATGCTCTAAACAATACTGAAACGTATATAAAGAGGCTTTGCGAAAAGCTGCTCACCAAAGGGCAGCTGTCACCGAAGGGCTTTTAAACTCCTTAAAATAACTAAAAATGGATCTTCCCTATCATTGGACATCTCAGCTCCGCCGCGATGTAGTACGCGTACCCATACAAAGCTGCTTCAACCAGTAGCCTTTATTCCTACTTCTGATAAGAGATTTCCAATATCCTTTCCTTGGAGGCCCACCGATACGGCAAAGGACCGGTTCAGAACTACGGATCTACCGAGGATACCGGTGTCGATTTCGTATTGTGTCAATGAACAACCGTCCGCATACCTGGGCACTGTCTCACAAAGAAGCACTGGGAAGCGCGAAAAACTACAAGGACATTCATACACCTTTTCGGAAAACTAGGCGTGAAGATAGAAGGGAGGAAGCAGCCCCAAGCGACTGTCCTTCCTGAAGCTGGCGTCAGAAAAAATGAAGCTAACATTGATGCTTTCAATGCAAATGGTAGTTTAAATATAATACTTGCAAAGAATTACTCCTCTGTCAAACATGTCGACTCTTGAGCATGGGAGAACATTCACTATTGCTAGCTACCTTTCCAGGAAACTTTCGAGCTCAAAGTTTGCAGAAACGACGAATATTCTCCTAATTATACATCTATATTTCAAAAACGAGAAGATCATTCCTTAACGCGTAGACAGTTAATTAGCACCCTCCAAGTATATATACATAGTGGTAGTAGTAGTAGTAGTAGTACTTAAGCTTAGGCAAGTAACGACGAAGAGATTTGCCTCTCAGGAACATTGTTTCTAATAAATGTAATAAACGACGGACGACCCATCGGTCTTCACACTAAAAGAAAATCTCAGGTTATGCCCTTTATGTTGGTGTATCTATGCTGATGCCCACGTGCTGATGTAATGACGCCGACTCGCAGTGCTTCATCTAGCTACCGCTCCTCTGAGCGGGCGAAATCGGAACGTTCAACTCGACCGTGTACTGCTGAATGACTCTTTAGATAGTATTTTCTTCCGTTGCTATTGTGCCGATAAGAAATCGGTGACCATCTAATTGACGGCAAAGAAACAGCGACGGCATTAGATGCGGCCAAGTTTACGTAATGAAGCGCTCACTACGGCCTCGTTGGACATTAGCTCGCCGATTACTTCTTGAAACAGCGCGACCTGTACCCATGTATTGCTATGCTCAAGACGATTGTTTATCGTTTGCCAAAATCTTCAGCTATGATTTTTCAATACAAGCTGGGATATCTTCAATTAGTCTCTGAACAGTCCTTCTTTTTTTTTTTTTTTTTTGTTTTTTGTTTTTCTACAAAAACTACTTCTTGTAAAGTTTGGCTATTTTCTTAGCTTGTTTAAAATAACGAAGCGGCAACAGCAGATTAAACTCGAAACCTAACGATTGCACGGTAGACATCCCACCTACCCGTCTGCTGCTGCATAAACTTCTACTTGTAACATTAACAGTTGTGTTTAAAAAGTTCTTTATTATCTAAATTGACTAGTGGTTTTTTTTTTTTTTTTTTTTTTGTATGCAGCTGTTATTAGAACCAATTGTAACCCTTTCCTTGAAATGAGATCGAGGAGAGACTCGAACGAAAACACAGGGAGCTTTTGTTCCGGCAGTGGCATATCCAGTTTGCTTATTGTAATAACTACAGTTTTAAGTTTCCTGGATCCCCTGGAAAATCCCCCATTAAATACGAAAAAGTGATCTTACCTGCGCCAAACAGACACTTATATAATTTTTTTTGAAACTATCTCGATAACTTCCACGACATCAGTGCTTATATACAGATGTTATTTTTATTATCTTAATACTGTTGCTTTCCCATCAGAATTATTATAATTCAGTTTTCGCCTCATGTACACTACATAGCCAAGCCAGAGAAGGCAAAATGGATGACATTGCAAAAAAAAAGTGGTCTGACTCTATTGGTTAGCCTAGTTCGTCCGTAATTGGCCAAGCACATGTTTGTATCCTTAGTTTCGCGTCCTAATGGCCTTCACGCGCTCGATCCAATCAAGCACTTCAGTAATGCGCGCATAAATGGTGAGACACCCCTCCGTGCCATAATAGCGTGCAAAGCTCTTCGCCCCGGCGAGAACGTAACGATCTGAAAGCTTGCATTGAAGGGGGCTTCCGGAATCACTACCGCAGAGGCCGGATTTTTCAGTTTCCTTGGATAGCGTGCAAATTTGACGCGGGGTTAGACTCTGGACGCCGTCGTTAGAGCTATTGTGTTTCCTCGCAAGGACGCACTCTCCTATCTGTGGAACATGCACTGCTAGTTTCTGGGAAACATTTCGTTGGCCTTGAATGTTAGCTGAAAAATGTAAGGCGGCAAGTATTAAGAAGGTTCGTCATCAAAACGACCAGCGAAACATAACGGAACCAATTTATTTAACTTTCATTTGCTTGCACTGATTTTACCCTATTATCATTACAGATCACAAATATTTCCGCTCTTATAGCTGAATCGAGTGCTACACTGGCATTATATTAATGGTGAACCCATAAGCTTGGGAAAAACATGTAGAACATTACCGTGCAACGCCTTAAGCCTCATGTGTGCATGTTATAAAATTAAGATGGCATCATCAGAATCTCCACATACGTGCCTTATGCCGATTCAGTTGGAGTATTTCTAAAGCATGTCACTGCGAAAGAAACAATCTCGCGGACGCCTTATTTTCTGTAGTCTAAGACGTTGTTAGACGTAAATAGGCGAGTCGTCTCTTTCGTTACGAAACCTATCTATTTAACACTTATCATGAACGCTTGCGTTTTTCATACAGAAATTTAATTTCTTGTGTGTCTAATGGCTTCATTGTAGAATTGTTTTGGAATACGTACAGCTGTTCTTGATCAAATCCCATGCGGAGGTTAGACAATCCATGCCTTCGAACCTTTGACCAGCCTTGGGCAAGCAGATAGGTCGAAGGTGCCTGTAGGTGCCAGAGAAGTTAAGCGGGTTTGGAAACTGGATCAGCGCATAGTCGTAATCGAAAAGCTGCAGATTCCAGAGGGGATGAATGACCAAGTCGCGACTGCGCACAAGATCCTGAATAGACGCTAGCGCTGCGACACATAGTCAAACTCTTTAATCATACTATCCAGATCATAAGGTCCAATGGTTATTGATATTGTTTCTATCACTAGAAATATCAATGTAGATTTACGTCATTTAGCTAATGGGTTCAAGGTCTTGACTTTGAACGCGAGAAAATAATGTTCATACGGTGTTATCTACGTCGCCAGAAAAATAATCGTTTGGCTGTCACCGAAATTGCTGTAAGAGGCCACTTAGATCAACTTCTAAGTAGACGGTCCTTGAATCCGTCCGAGGATATTACCTAATAAATAGCCGTATTAAATCTATGGATTCTTGTACCTGTGACACAACCGGCTGCTTCGAGCCACAAAAATGCAAATTTTTATCGATAGCCTTAACACACATTAAAGTCAAAGATATCTCAAACTTGTAAGCTTAATTTGGCTAAAGACGAGTAGTCTGAAGAAGGACACAGAATATAACAATCCTAGGTGGCCTTTTTGCAAAAACATTTTTTTTTAATATTAAGCAAATGCTTTTTCAATTCCTTCTAACTAACTTGGCGCGTAAAGACTTTCGGATGTCCTCTTATTTAGTGATGCAATACTTTGTTGAGCTTAAACAAGGTCGGGCTTCTAAAAGTCATGTTCCAAACCGATCTATAAAATAGCATAGAATGTTAAACTGGGCAATCAAAGAAAAAAGGTACTTCTAAAATATACAATAATAATTTAAGAAATATAAGGTTGCTAAAAAAAAAAATGGTTTAAACCTGCGTATGCGTAGGTAGAGACCGCTAAAACCCAAGAGATCATAATGGCAAGGAACAGACAAGGCCAGTAATCGATTTATTCGACCCAACTTATAATTTGGCAGGATACCTAACACGTATTAATTAGGACAAATTTGTTTACCAATGGTAGTAGGACCAAGATTATATAAGGTTTTAGCAAACGTATGCTTTTCGCTACTCATATTGTGGGCGCCGACCACGACTCGTAAATTTCCATTGACGATCCTCTTATCAAGACAGTGAGCCGTCGTAAATATCCAGTTCTTGTCAACGATTGATCCACTGCAAAGGTGCTCCCAACGATTCGCAGTTATATTAAATAACTGCAATGATATCTGCCACGGGAACTGTAAGGCGTTGACGTCATCTCCGTCGATAATTGTGTTCGTCGCAGGACCTAAAACACCGCACTCGGGCTCCAGCTGGCCAAAGGCACCGTTAAACGCGAGAGCCAGCAAAATTGGCAATGTAACGATCATAAACGACCTCATCATCACACTTGTCGTGACTCAATGCACAGAAAAGGGATATAGTTTTCAAGCACTTCTTGCATTGATTCGAAGCGTAAATCGAACGTGGCCTTGGTGGAAACAACTTAAGGAGCCGAGCAGCCAACAAGTGGCACGGTGAGATAGCAAGGGAAAGTGCAATCAAACAGATTAGAAGAGCTTTAATGTCACCGGCTGAAAGATGTCCTACGTAGCGTTTTAGGAAGCGGACTTAAGTTGTGATACTATACGCCAGACCTTTGCCTTATTCGGCCAGCCTTTATACGACAGCGCGCAAAACATTTGTGAAGTGAGTACAAGCAAGTGTTCACTGATCGTGTTATGCTAAAGCTCAACGCTGCATTAGTTGCATTACGTTATTAAGCCATATGAGTCATTGTCATCCTACCATCTGGACACACTCTGCCCATCAAGAAGCTTAGTCAAGCTAGTGCGTTACGTAGGGGAGGGGGGGGTGGGGGGTTCGAGCCTCAGTACGAGCAACAGCTAAAGATTTCGATTATCTGAATGAAGACCTGGTTTCGGAAAGAAAAAAACAAATCGTTCCAGCTTCGATAAATACAGGCCACTTATCATGGGTGTTCAAGTTACCGAGTGGTCGCATTACACAAAATGGCAATGCGTCAGCACAGTAGCTAGCGAACGACAAGATCGTTTCGACGGCGTCGTACTGCTACACCCCCGAATACGACCCTCTGTAATCAGCGTACCTACACAGTGTCGTTCCTGATGCGCGTTGTCTCCAGAAACAAAATTTTTGGTAAATACGACGGTTTTAAAGCACGTGGTGGAATTTTTTAGTGACCGGCAAAAATGCCTATGGTACTCGGTCAAATGTGGTATAGCTTAGTACGGAGATGTAAAATTATGACCTATATGAGCTTCGCTTCAGGTTAAGGAAACCTATAGGGCTTTCGCCAGAAGGTCAAAGTATACGAATACGCTAAGTTACTCAATCATTTGGCTTTTCTTACTGTCACGCACGGCACGGGTTCACATTATTGATATGCAGTACGGCTTAGCTGAGCTGAAACAACAGCGCTCGCTAAGTTCTACTTGCCATAACCCTAACCGAAACAGACTTTGAACTTAGTGCATCTGCTATTGCCGAAGTGGACGTGACGAAAACGGCAGCCGGTGGCCGATATCCGCTTAATGAACAATTTCGAGATGACGTCGACTGGTATCGAACCAAGGCCAGACTCAAACCTGTATTTCGAGTGATTCGAAAGCGATAGTGTTCATACAAAGATCTATCTGTATAGAGAGATAGAACAAAGTTAAAGAAAACTTGATCTCCTAAATGAAAACAAGACGACTGCTGCCTTAATAATGGGATTGATTCATTGACAAGGACGAATTATGTACTCCTGAGACTGCATTAACCGAATAAGCCAGTCCAGGAGTTCAATGCTTAACGGGACGACTATGGGTAAGTAAAAATTTGTAAGGCGTAAGCCCACGCTAACTTTCAAGACGAACCTGTTGGCAAGTTGAATAGTTCAATAACATCGTAACCCTTTTGTACTCAATGTCTGCTTTCCTCTAAGTGCCCGGATATTCGACAACGGTAGCTGCTACCTGGCTTTTGTGAACGGACTGTTCAAAAGTCAAATAACCAAGATAGCTCTAGCATTTCCCCAGCACAGCCAAACAGAAGCAGAAATAGCACGTTCGTCCTATGCTTTGTATGCGTTAACCATTGACGGGTTCCCTACTCACTGTCAAGGATATGACCCAACGTCCTCTAAGGCGACGATGTATCTCGCTGTACGCTTATTCAACTGCTTTCAATAAACACTAGGACAAGAATCTAGTTAGAGGACACGCCTTCTTCTTTAGGAAAAAGCAGGACAAGCTCAGGATGTGTACGAAACGAGTAGTCCGACGGTAGTTAGTTTATCCGATCCGGAACCCTGTGCAGTCATGTGACAAAGTTCGAACCAGACGTATTTCTGCTATAACCTTTTATCGCGCTGCAAACTGCCCATATTCCTAGAATTCTAATAAACTTACCTTTCCTACAAGGACATAGTTACCTGTCTTGCCGAATGGGAACTGTACCATCGTATTCATTTTTCCTATTTATATAGTTTTCACACACTTTGATACGGTCTCAGTGTTGGTAGCGTCTGCTAAAGGATAATCCTTGTAACAATGCAATGCTGTGCGTATAATCGAATATCTGGATGGATTCATCCCCGTCTAAAGGCCAAGTCAAATGTGGATTCCTGCCCATTTGTCGTGAGCGAAGCTATAATCTGTTTATGAAAATGTGTCTTCGTTACATACAAGGATGAAGCTTCTGGCCGGAATACGAGAATAACAAAGTGTAAGGTCTCAGCTTTATCAACAGCATCTTCCGCTCGCTCAGGGTCTAACAAATACAATTAGCGCTTATGTTGAGACACGGTTAATGCTTTATACCCATAGGCATCATGCTGTATTAGGTGCTTTTCCAAAACAGTACTTCTTAGGTTTGCACTTAAAAAGCGGGTTGCCTAGCACTTTCTGCTTTAGAAGCTTGCTTACTTTTCTTCTTTTTCATTAGTAGGACCAATTTGATTTTCATCTTCGACATGCTTTTTTTTTTTAATGCCAAAAAAGTGTTTCTCTATTTGCTTTATCGTTATGTTTTACATTTCAAGCTGCTCGATCAAATGAACGTGGCGAATTTACGTATGACGGGACTAGCTCTTTATTGGAATGGGAGCGTTATACAAACCAAACCGTATATGCCTATAAACAAAGTGAAGCCGAGGGCAGTAGTGCCTGTCTATGTAGCTGTCCTTGGATGATTTCTAAAACATTCTATTTTCTTTCAGATACTATTAAGAACGTATTGAAACTTTATTAATAAGAATATTACATATCTCAAGTTGATCCAAGCTAAATTCGAGTTGAGGTAGTACTGTTTGAAGAACGAAATGAAGTCGGCTGTTTCCTACTGTTGAAATTAAAATGTAATTAAATATTAGATTGACTCATAAGTAATGGCAATTGTTTGCCTAATATTTCTATTTTCTGTTTCTTTTTTACTTGATTCACGCGTCAGGTTTGGACCAAATCATATAATGTTTAGTGTACCTGCGTTCGAGGGCTGAGTATATTTAGGGGGATTTATTATATCTGATCGAACCTCAAATCGAAGTCAAAAACACGATACAAGGGTTCTGTTTCTGGAAGTGTCATATCGAAACAACATGCCAAGCAACTTTTACCTACAGGACGCGCTAAATTTGACTCGATGTTAGAGTTATCGACGATCGTCAGCTGTTAAGTAACTGATCCAATGTCAAAACCTATTGCTTGTATTCTAATGGCGCATTTTCTTCCAAGACATAATTTTCTATTCAACCTCCCTTTTTTTTTTCGAGACCCTACCCCCAAGGAAAGGAAACTAACCTAATAGACCCAAACGCCATGTTGTTAATGTGATCGTTGCCTGTGCTGTTGATTACTTAACATAAGGATTGGACGGAATCCTACAACTGGGCAGTTCACGCAACGGAGCTTAATTTAAGGCTTGTACATTCAATAGTAAAAGTACATACTTGGAGGGTTTGTATTGAAAAAAAAAAAAAAAAAGGTATCTTTTTAGGTTTCTATTTATAGATGTACGGAAAGCATCGATATTCAGGAAGAACTCCTCAACTGCTTCTATGCCTGGCGCTCCGTTTCAGGAGCCTGTGAGGTGCCCGAGAAAACTTAGAAAATGTACTTTAACTCATAGACAAGCAGTCACGGCCGTGAGGTTTCGATCGAAATTCATAGTCACCTTTATTCAGGGAGAACGATGGTCAAAGAATACCACATAATCATCACGAAACTACTACTACCTTTGCAATAACTGCAATATATTTTTATTACTATTATTAGGTATTAATTAATGCTGTTATTCAGTACGATTTGTTAATTATAGCGGCTTACAATGAGTGTGCGGACGAGGACAAAGTATTTACTTATCGTACTTACTCAGAAACCTGGCTACGTCCCTAATACGGCCCTCTCTGTGTTAGCTATCGTTACCGTATGAACCCTATTTGACCTCTGACATCTCTGCTCTGGTGTATCAAAGATACATAGCTTCAACATTGACCATAATGTTATACTAGTAATTAACGGTCCCAGAAACCATTGAAAGTTTGATTCGACGTTTGCTTTCCATTGTTCCCACTGTTTTGGGTTTGTTTTTTTCCCAAAACACGCTCTTGGTGCACATGGCCCATGGAGAGGGTAGCTGAGAGGAAGGTATACGAAACTTCCTCGGTGGAAAGGGCTTCCTCGAACGATGAGGTTGAGTTCGCGAGGGGGGCGAACCTCGCCGACGCTCTCGGCGAGTTCAAAGAGTATTCCAAGTTTGACGGGAGAACGTCGTCCAGTGAGGCGTGTATTTTGCAAAGTTTCTATTTTGTGACAAATCAAAGACACACACGATTGCGAGCGTTACCGCGTCGCCTTAACTTGCACCGCCTTACAGATAAAAAAAAAACACTGGATTAACCTGATTCTCCGCAGAAAAGATAAATAAACAAACTTGGATACGGAAAATACCGTAACTTAGTCATCGTCGTTCATGTTCTGCCGTCACATTGGATCGCCGAAACAGTGAAGGTCTGGGAAGTGTCATAACAAAAGATAAATGAGATTCTAAAGAATTTATTGAATCGTATCGTCGACCATGATTTGCACAGCTGTGTACGCTTCCCACTGTGTTACGAAGTGACATCTAGTTAGGTCCCAGCGGTGCGTCTCTGTAGTAGTTCCTAAGGCACCGTAGCTTTGGGTGTTCTGCAGGACACTATATTGTCTGTTACTGTTTCGCAACGTTTTTTCCTTCGTCATTCGGTACACGAAATTCAGAATTCATATCAAAAAGCTTCTGACGTAACACAAAACGCGCCAGAAAATAGTTTGTGTGTGTTTGAAGAGAGTGTATTGCCACTGTGAGAAGATATGTATGAGTACCCCATCTGCCTTCAAAGAGGAGTTAGTTGGTGATAGATTTGTTGATGTGCGAAGGCGTCCGCTTGCTAATTTAGTATTTTGCACAAACCCAGTGCAATAACCTTTCCCCAAAATAGGTTCACAGCCTATTTCTTTTTATCTCGTAACCGAGTATCGCCAAACCAACGGCAAAACATTGCTCCCTCTCCCTCTCCAAATAAATGGAGATAGAGATGTCAGTAGATGGCGGGGTAGCCTTCGCCGCCCTCGTCGAGGAACAATCCCGAATCATATGC